TCCGGGATACTGAATTTGATGGGGGTGCTGGGGTGGATCACATTACAAGCAACTCAGATGATTAGCTCTGTTGAAGAAGGGCTTGGAAGACCTCTCACTTAGTAGATAAGAAGGGGAAATAAAGGGTTTTCTTAGGCAGAAGCAGCAGTCTGTGAGAAATCTGTAGTTAGGAGAGGAAGTAGTGTATTTGTATGTCCTGACCCTTAGCAGAGAAGACATAATGACGTATATAAGGTACTCTTGAAATATTTGTTGAAAAATAACTTTTTTTTGTTGGTTAATTAAACCTTTACTGTTTTTACAGTTTTTCTCTTTCATACCTGGTCTTTTACTCTGATACATAACATACTTCATAATATTATTACAGTTTTTCTTGTGTTATCTGTAAGAGTTGTTTGTAAAAGCTGAAAACCTTTTGAACTCATAAATTTTTTAATTCATAAAGTAAGTTCATAGATAGCTTTTCATATATTGGTGTTAAAGCCAGTTTATAGCAAGGATCTTAAAGTAATTGCATGACTTTCTTCAACTGCACGATGAACTTCAATAGGTTAATTTTAAGAATCATGCAGAGTTAGGTCTCTCTTTAAAGTTCCAGGTGAACGTGGGGGCCAGTTGCTCCTGGCCATCCGCATAGATCTAAATTCATTTACTGTCCACTGCCATCTAGTGTCTTGTGAGAAAAATAACTCAATGGTAAGCCTATAATAATACACTTTTAAAATATTTCTAAAATTTAACTGGTTGAGTTGAAACCTTAACATAAAAACTGAAGTTTCATGAATAAAGTGGTTGAATTGTGTATGGGAAGGAAAATGAGAATGATGTCTATCACCTGATGTATCTATTTAATTGATGTCAATGAACCAGATTTTCCCATTTCATCAAAAAAATCATAGTTTTTTTTCAATAAATTGTGATAGTCTTCTGTTGTTCATTTTCCACCAAATCTATTTCTCCTAATTTGCTTTTTTATAATTTGAATGCTTTTTTATGGCTTCATCTGAGTCCACCTACTGGTCATGACTACTGTTACCAATCTTGCCTACTTTCAATGACCTAACCTTAGAAATAAGTATTAAAAATTGCTGTTATTCCAGAAATATTGGCTAGTTCATAATGGGTTTCTTTGAAAAATTGAAGAAGCTAATTTGTCCCCTCCCACCACATGGCCAATCTCTCTGATGGTCCTGGGAGGTGGAGGACTAACAGCCCCAGTGAGAGCCCTTGGAGGGAAGAAAGACCAACAGCAGGATTTGTCAAGTTGCATGTTCTGAATGCAGGTGATTTCTTCTCTGGAAAGAGTAGAGGTGGTTGAGGTTTGAAACTTTGGACCTTTTCTTTGTTTTTAGTTGTTTTTATCTCTAGCCCCTAAAATATGTTTGTGCTAATAAAAGTTTTCATAGATGATACAGTGTTAGAGCAGGAATTAATTTTAGAGGCTCGGCTCAACATTGCATTTTATACATAAATGATATATTGTAAGTACATGTAGTCTTAATACATTCTAAAATACTGTGTAGTGATGTTTAATAAAAAGCAGTTTCCATTCACCCTCCTATAAAGTAGAATATTTTTTATCTTAATAATCTGAACATCCCAGTCAAACCCTTATGTCAAAAACCATAATGATTTTTTTTAAATAAAGTTACTCTGATGAATCACTGAACTCTACCTTGGAAACTAATAATACACTATATGTTAATTAATTGAATTTAAGTAAATTTAAAAAATAAAAATAAAGTTACTGTTTCCTTTGTAAGTTTCCCAAGAACTTACTTACACCCATTATTGGTTAATTCAGTAATGCAGCCCCTTTGCCAATGAAAGATGCAAAGTATATCTTATCAAATAAACTGTGATTACCTTGAAACGTTAAGAACTGAAGCAAGACTTGCCTTGTCAGGTCACAAAATGTACGACAAGTTTATAGTCATTCAAGCAATGAGGTGGCTGATCAACCGACTGGTATGGAATTGAGAATTCAGAAACAGACCCAAGTATTCTCGGAGACTGAGTATGTGGTGAAGGTAGTAGCTTTACCACTGAGGAGTGACTGTTCAGTACACAGCTGTCCATTTGATTATTTCTGGAGAGTAAATAAAGGTAGGCTTAATGAATCTTCCCCATCCCTTGAGTACATGTAAAATTCAGCCTCTAATTTAGAGGTTTGTTACTGATTTTTCCCACTTGCAGTAATAGCTGCCAATTAGTGCATTCAACTGCAAAGATGATGAACAACATAAAGAACATGCTATTGCTGAACATGGAATTCAAACCAGTGGTTGATCTTCAATCAGAAATGGATGTTATGAAGTGAACCTTTGCACAGGGAATTGTATGGAGTAAAACACAGAAACAAAAAAGAACGGGAAAGCACTAATGCAGAGGGGAGAAGGGGAAACACGTCAGGAAGAGGTGTCAGGCCTAGGTCGGTCCTCATTCCCTTGCCACATGAGCACTGGGCCTTCATTGGATGATTTATTCAGTACTGTTAGCATTCCTCTCTAGCTCTCATTTGGAAACACTTCTATTTGATAAATATGAACAAATATCATAAGGTAATTGGTAAAACAAAGGTAAAGTTTCCACGGTAAAGAATTATTTAATTTTTTGGTAACTATTTATTATCCACAGGTTTTTCAGATTCAATCAAGTAGTTGAAAGATTTCCAAACCTTTTATTGTCAGCAAGCCTAATATATAGAATAGCTTTCCATACACCCTTGGTGCAATATTTGCTTATCTGTTTCTCATGCCTCATATAGAAATCCTACATAGAGGGAATAAATATTTTATAATATTACATAAATGACCTAATAATATAGGATTATATAAGCTAGTCTTTCATTATTGATTTTTGAAGGTTAATTATAACTTGTAGATATTATTAAATCTAGCCTTAAAGGGCATATAGCAAAGTCATCCAAAAAAGATGTCTGTTGTAGATCTTCAAACAACAAACAAAGCCAAAGACTATTTAAAAAAAAAAAAAAAATCCGGGGCACCTGGGTGGCTCAGTCTGTTAAGCATCTGCCTTCAGTTCAGATCGTGATCCCAGGGTCCTGGGATCGAGCTCCGCATCGGGCTCCCTGCTCAGCGCGGAGTCTGATTCTCCCTCTGCTTGCTGCTTCCCCTGCTTGTGCGCTCTCTCTCTGTCAAATAAATAAAATCCTAAAAAAAAAAAAAAAAAAAATCCAAAGCTACTGCTGGGAGCTCGCTCCAGAGTTTACCTTCTGTCACAGCCCAAGGAAGTTCTGTAGGAGTGAGGCAAACCCCTCAGTTCCGTCCAAGTTCATTTCCTGCATTCTGTCTTTGGTAAAGAGAATGTTGCTCAGCATCCATCTTGTGATTAACTTTCTCATAGTTTGAGAAAAACATTATCAGTTCTGATTTTTCTTCAAGCTAAATATACCACATCCTTTACAATTTTTTCTTGCAATCATCCCTTCTTCTTGTTCTTGAATAATTTTTCTACTCTTCTCTGAATCTTGGGGTGGCACACTGACTTCTACTGTGGCAGTGATAGGTACTAAATCTAATCAAAGTCCTAACTTCATCTGCGCCATACGCATATTGGTGTGTCATGGAACCTCAGTAACTTTAAAACTGGTGACATGAATTCTAGCCTCTTTAAAAATAATAAGGTGGAATTGTCATTTGCTATCTTATATGTAGTTAAATTTTTAAAATCATTTTAAAGCATAATAAACATTTTTAACTTAATCTCTTACAAAGAGTCATTTAAAATGTATTTCTCACAGGCATTGATAGTACTTAATTACAAATGCTATGTAAGCACAGTACTAACTGATACAGATATATGTGTGAATAAAATATTTTGAACTTAGCTTCTAATCTGTAAGTAATGATTTATTTAAAGCAGCTGGGGGTGCACCTATGCTCTGCTTCCCTCCCTCCCCCGCCCCACTCCCAGTTGATTGAAGGAGCTTATTTATAGGCTTTAGTCTCGTGTGATAGTAAGATTTTATAGGAAGAAGGGGTTCTCTGACATTATAGAGCTTGAAAGCCATGTATCTAATAAGTGTATAATTATATCGATCTCAATGTCTTCAACTAGAATTTGCTTCATATTAGCAAGTATTAGTAGGAACATGTGTAGCTTAAGAGGATTATCTAATCTTACTGCTTCAGATGTCTTCAGACTTTAACTTACAGCAGTCCAATTTAAGATAAAAGTAAAATGCTGGGAGAATTTACCTGAACTTTAATATTTTTCAAAGTGAGTAGATAATCATAATTCAGTTATGCCAAAATATTGCCCCCAACTCTAGGTGATTTGTTTTGATTAGCAACTCTTACTTAGTCGAAATTTATTTAAAATATTGGATTTAGTCAAAATAACTGATCATATTTTTAAAAAACACTTCTCTTAATATAGTTTCAGGAGTTTACCTTCCCACCTAATCATTTGAAAGAGAAAGATGCACCCAGATTTGTCCAAAATATTTTGGATTTTTGCTATTACTAAGCAATACATTTGCTTAGTAATAGCAAGTATTAGTAGGAACATGTGTAGCTTAAGAGGATTATCTAATCTTAAAAAGATTTTTAATGAAAATGAAAAATACAACCAAATCAATTTGACTTGTAGTCCCTGATCCTGTCTCCAGATCCGTCAGTCCAGTCTCTAGGGGAGGTTGGGCCTGATGTCTGTTTCTTGACAATACCTTGACCCCAAGGACAACTTATTTTCCATTTTATTGTTTCCTATATATCAAAATAGGAGGCTATTTTAAGAGTTTTTCTTCTGCTAGGCTTTCATTAAAGTCCTATACCTAGCCTGCATTTTGTGTCCTATCGGGAATACGAGAGAGAATTTCACCTCACATACCCCAGTTTGATCAAAGCACTTTTCCTCATTTTCTGTCTCTCTTCGTTGGCTCACAGATTCCTCATGACCGATAAGTAATATCTAGGAGTCTTTCTGTAGTGCCAAGTACAAGGAGGTCTATAAAGCATGTTCTTTCTCCTTGCTAGAGTCTGTGCGTGTTCACTCCACCTGGAATCAAGGAAGGAAAACCCCGGCTTATCCCTGCTGGGCCCATTGCCCAGGGCACCACCATCTCTGCCTACGTGGCCAAGTCCAGAAAGACATTGCTAGTGGAAGACATCCTTGGGGTAAATTTTTTTTTTTTACTCTGTGACATTTGTAACCTGAAGTATTTATTTCATAAAGATGACATATCATTTTGGGCGCCTGGGTGGCTCAGTTGGTTAAGCGTCTGCCTTCGGCTCAGGTCATGATTCCCAGCCACGGGATTGAGTCCCGCATCGGGCTCCCTACTCAGCGGGGGGTCTGCTTCTCCCTCTGACCCTCTTCCCTCTAGTGCTCTCTGTCTCTCATTTTCTCTCTCAAATAAATAAATAAAATCTTTAAAAAAAAAGATGACATATCATTTTGATGTTATGACTCAAGCCATTTTATAAAAGCATTAGAGCAAGATACAGATCAATAAATGAATCTGTATGTAAACTAAAATTTGTGCTCAGAGAATCATACCTTATATACCCACTGAGAGCTAGATTTGAATAGTTCTTATTTCAATACCTAGCAGTACAGTTAAGCATAAAATGCATGTTTATATTTAGGTAAACTAAGTGATCACTGTTCTGTGTGGTCTATCCTGGCCAGGAATGCATTAGCTAATGCTGAGTGCCATGCTGCCCCAGGTTGTAGTGTTGTCCTGCAGCAGCCACCTGGGGCTTCTCGTGAGTCCGTGCATTGGGCCATTCTGCTGATTGGGCTGTGTTCAGCTGAGCTTGCTTGTGCATCTGAGATCAACTGGCCGTCACTTACCAGCTGGCTGGCCTCAGAGGGCCTCAGCTCTCTGTGCTTATCACTCCCCCACCTCCCCACCCCACCCCTACGTAAAGTTGGCCTGCAATGTTCTCATGATGGTGGAGAGGTTCCAGAGAATAAGTGAAACATGCAAGTGAGTTTTCAAGCCTCTGCTTTCATCAAATTTACTATCCTTGCATTAGCCAAAGTAAATGACATAAACAAGCCCAGATCAGTATTGGAAGATACTGATGAAAGACACGGGTATGGGGAATGGGACAGTCTTCCACACTATATGTGAGTATTGTGATGAAATGTCACTATATGAGCTTAGACTTTAAAATTGACAAGTATGCAAATGCCTGTAGAGGTGTAATGAAATTGCTCTGAAAAAGTGCTAAGTTGGAGTCATGAGATCTGGGTTTTAATTCTGATTTTGCCACTAATTATCTGTATAGGTAAGAGATACAGAAAAAGTTGCTGAAAGACTAGATCTTCATTATAAAGATGATCAAGTGGGGCGCTTGGGTGGCTCAGTCAGTTAAGCCCTGACTCCTGGTTTCGGCTCAGACCACGATCTCAGGGTGATAACATTGGGCCCCTCATCAGGCTCTGTGCTCAACCCGGAGTCTGCTTGAGATTCTCTCTCTCCCTTTCCCTCTGCCTCTGCCCCCCGCTTGTGTACACACTCTCTCTCTCTCTAAAATAAATAAAATTTTATTTTTTTAAAGATTTATTTATTCATTTGAGACACAGAGAGAGAGAGCACAAGCAGGGGAAGAGGCAGAGGGAGAGGGAGAAGCAGGCTCCCTGCTGAGCCAGGAGCCCGACCTGAGCTGAAGGCAGACGCTTAACTATCTGAGCCACGCAGGCACCCCTAAAATAAATAAAATTTTTAAAAAAGATAATTATGTGACATGATAGAGATGCTAACTACCACTACAATGGCAATCGTATAATATATAAATATATCAAATCAACAGTTTTATACTTTAACTTACATAATGTCGTATGTCAAATATTTTCAATTTTAAAGTGTTAAAAGTAGACACTATACAACTTGTCATTTGAAAATGTTCTATCGTATATGCAGGCTTTCAAAAGATTTGTAAATTACAAACACATATTTGTACTGTTCTTGATTTATGAAAAGCTTCCTACAGACTGAAATTGAATAAATAGAATTGGTGCTTTGATATCAATTCATTCAATTTCCCTGTATTCCTTTGAGTGATTTGCTAAGCTAGAAAGTTATTAAAGTCAAAGAACCAATTGCATTTTTCACAAGTAATTGATAATTATTGGATGATTTGAATACTTAATGTGAGCTTTTGAGATTCAATCAGAATGACTATCATTAACATACACTTCTGTATTATTCTAACCTTAAAAATAGAAGAGAAACAATTTTTTAGATATACTTTCCTTCATGTGGTATTTATATACCCTTGGAAGAGTTCCAGCACATAGAAGGTGGTGTGTGTTAGCCATCATAATTACTTTTATTATTGCATGAAATTGATATATATTCATTGATTAACTAAATTCTACTGCACAGGGATAAAGAAACATTAAAGCAGTATCTGTGAATAGGTGCCATGTTGCTAAAGATAAGCATTTTCTTAAATATAGTTTATAGTGTCCATTGTCATTTGGTTTTCCTTTGAAAACGACTGCCTATTTTTTATTACAAGTATTAGGCAATTTCTGGCAGAAATAAGAATCTTAACATAATGATTCCATTTCTTTTACTGAATTGATATCTTTTCTCCTTTGATTTTTCAGGATGAACGATTTCCAAGAGGTACTGGACTGGAGTCAGGGACTCGCATCCAGTCTGTTCTTTGTTTACCAATTGTCACTGCAATTGGTGACTTGATTGGTATCCTCGAGCTGTATCGGCACTGGGGCAAAGAAGCCTTCTGTATGAGTCATCAGGAGGTGAGGCTAGCCCGTTGAGGGCACTCATTAATGTGGTTCAGTTAATAAATGAATGAATATTTAAAACCACAATTTGCTTAACAATGTTTTGATGGTTTTTAAAAACCTTTATTTTTGTTTTGTAGTTATTTGGAGAGAAAACTGATTAAATTAGAAATATAGTAATTTATTTTAGTAAGAATCCTTTCTTTTTTCTTTTTTTTTTTAAGATTTTATTTATTTATTTGAACAGAGAGACAGAGAGAGATTGCAAGTAGGCAGACAGGCAGGCAGAGGGAGAGGGAGAAGCAGGCTCCCTGCTGAGCACGGAGCCTGATGCGGAGCTCCATGTGGGGCTTGATCCCAGGACGCTGGGATCATGACCTGAGCCGAAGGCAGACGCTTAACTGACTGAGCCACCCAGGCGCCCCAAGAATCCTTTCTAACAATAAAAATAAAAGTATGCCATATTGTGAATCAAATAAAGTAGTAGGATGACTTTGGAGCATTCTCATATTCTGATTGTCTATGTTTTCTTAAAAATGTCCTCTTCCTAGAGGACGTCCTGAACAAAGATTCCAGCATCACATTTGGAAACAATGAGTTCCATGCACTGTTCACTGAATCAGGACTGGCTCTTTAGCCCTAAAGCCAGATACTACAGTGATCTGTCACTCCCAGTATACAGATGCCCACATCCCTGCCTGTACTCCTCTCCTGCTCCCTCCCTCCAGCCACACAGGGCCCTTGAGCAAGGCTGACCAGCTCCTGCTCAGAGCCTCTGCATCTGCTCTCCCTCTGCTTGGATCGTGTGTGCCCTCCCTGTCCCCACCCCGGCCGCCTCCTTCAGGAGTGTCCTCACATGTCGCTGTGTCAGGGAGGAGGCCTTTCCTGAACACTGCACATATCTCCATGTTGTGCCTCTGATTCTCTGTAGCCCTCATCACCGGCTAAGACCCTGTGCACTTCCCTTATTCTCTTTCTTGTCTTTCTCCCACAGTCTACTGTAAGCTGTTCTGGTGGGTGGTGTGGTGCCGTGTCTCCACCACCTAGAGTACTGCCTGGTACCCAGGAAGCACCCAGTGGATGTTTGGGAAGTGAATGAATAATAAAAGAAGTAGAATAGCTAGTAATTGAGAACTTGTCAGCAAAATTTTAGAAATATTCATCATTGTAAAGTGGGGGTTGAGGCCACTTTAATAGTATTTTTGTTAAACTGAGAAATAATTATTTTATGTGAAAATCATTGGGTGGTAGCTCTCTCAAGCAATTCATCTTGCTTTTTATCCAAAGTTAAGAGGAATGAGAACATTAAACTCAGTTATAAAGGGGCGGGAAATGTAAAAGAGAAATCTTGTACCTATTTGATTCTCTATGTTTGGCAAAATATTCAAATACTCAGTGGCCTCAGAAAATTCTTCATATACATGTGTGCTAGAGTCCTTTGTTAGGATGTCTGCATGTGACTAATCAGAATGTGTTTCATCCTCTTTTTTCAGGTTGCAACAGCAAATCTTGCCTGGGCTTCAGTAGCAATACATCAGGTGCAGGTGTGCCTTTGGGGTGTTTTTACAGGGGCTCCCTAAGAGAGAAGAGTTGTTTAAAGTGCAGCCGCTGGGGGACGGGGTGGGGGTTAATAAGTGACCCTAATGTGTTATTTTTGGATATTAGGTATTTTGTTATTTCTGAAATTTTGTGTCTATTCACTTATATTTACTTGTTCCCTGCCTTAAATATCTTGCAATTATTTTTATATATTTATATGTAATTATAAATTATTTATGCCGTAAATGATATATGTTCTATTATGGTTTTGTTTTCCACTGAAAGCAAAGGAGTGGTCTCCTCTGGCAGTAGCACTGATATTACATTTTTATGACTCCATTTCCTAAATTAAAGCATCCTTTAAACTAAATGGTATATGAAAACTTTCATCTCAAATTTAAAACACCTGGTTTTCTTGAAAATATGACCTAATTTAAAAGATCACAAACTTTATCAAGTTTCCTGGCAACTGGACTTCGAGGTTCACAGACACAGGAGCTTTGTACCCTCCACTTCTTTTCACTGTTGTTTTGTTTTTTAAATCCATTTCAGCACACTCACGGTTTGTGAGGGGAGGAGATAAAGTATATAGTTACAGGATAATAGTATGAGGAGCAAGGACCTCTCAGATCCGACCATAGCAAGTATAAGTGGAATATGTGCCCAAGTGTCATTTTTTAAAGTTGAAAGAAGTTTTAAAGATCAACTCTGGAGGTAGACTCCCTGGACCTGAATGCTGGCTCCATCACTTAGTAATTCCGGAGCGGGAGCATGGTTCTGAACTTTTTTATGCTTCAGTTATAAAAGTAAACCCCAAATCTATAGTGTTTTGTGATGATTAAATGAGGCAGTAACGCTAAAGCGCATAGAACAGAGCTTAGCACATTGAAGCATTTGATAAATATGACTTCTTACTAATAGTATTACTGCTTTATAAGTCTTTTAAAATAAAAAAAGTAAATAGTATTCAGGAATTGTTATTTTAAATAAGCAGAAATCTCTTATGATTAATAGCCATTATTTTCTGTGGTAGGTATGCAGAGGCCTTGCTAAACAGACTGAATTGAATGACTTCCTACTTGATGTATCAAAGTAAGTGTTCATTTCTAGGGTTGAGGTAGGTCTTCTTGATCAGTGGTTTAAGTTAAGTGCAGGCTCAGACAGCGACTGACTGTCCACTGCAGTCAGTAAGTAGTCTGGTAAGAAAGGTTCATATTTTGGACTGTAAAGTTACATTCTCATCTGTGTTCACTTTACAAGTGAAGGACTACAGATGTATATGTGATAATGTTAATTTGCAATTTGGTGTATATTTTCTAAATAGACTCACTAGAGCATGTTAAAGACACTAAGTATTTCTATTTTTGTAGGAGAAAACTTAGAACAGTAGAAGAGGAAATGTTTTAGTTTATTACTTTCCAAAAAGTCCTTTCTGGCATTTTCTACAAATGTCAGTAAAGTAAACCATATTATCAGTATTATTTTAATTTTCCCATGTATGGTAGCTCAGTTATCATTTTAGAGAAAATGTTCCATTTCTCTGAAGTTTGACCTAGAAAAACCTCCTTGGGCTGGCAGTGAAAGCAGTTATAGATATTTATTATATTCGAGGTTCATAACTGGTTTTGCCTGCTACAAGGAAGATTATCCATAGATTTGACCCATCTACTGAATTGCTGAAATCTAAAATAATGCCCCAAGATGTGGTCACTTCAGGGTCACGGTCTCTGGCAAGTTAATAGAGGGATGACGTACCTGTCCTTCCACCAGCAGCAGCTCTGACCATGTTCTCTCTCATAGATCGCTTTGGCATAACTTATCATTCACAAGTGTTGTAATCCCATCACTAATTAGTCTGGAGTTGCTGCTTTGTGTTACATGTATTTCTTGAAATATGAAATTAGGGAACCGTGAGAGTAAGAGGGCTCTCATTTGATGCCAGAGGTCAGCTGTGTCTCTGAGAGAGAGAATTAAACAGCGTCTCTGGGACACATGATGTTACTATTTCAGAACACATAGAAACGGAACTGTGTGCCTTCCTTTGCTAGTGTGTTTGAATATCTTGCAAGTCTCCCACGGTCCTGTTAGATCCCTGTAAGTCTCTCCCCTAGGGGAAACCCATTTGACTTTACCATATTCCTTGCTGTTCGTTCCTCTGTGCACAGGGTAATTAAGCATATGCTAAGTCTTGCTGGCTCCCACCTGAAGAGGAAATGTAGTCTTCTCAACAAAAGGCACTGTTTATCATTATTAAGTTATCTTAATTCTAAGTACATTGCTAAATTCACAGGAACCTAAAGTGAAAGCAGTACCTTGCCAATAGATCCTAGATTAACATAGTCCCTGAAATACATGCTTACTGCTTCATCTGTTGATCAGGTTGACATTTTAATGTAGGTGCCGTATATCTCCAAAAAATTTACTTGCTGTTTATGGTAATGAATATATATAGTTTACTTGTGCAAAGTCAGTAGGCTATTATCATTTCTTGTATTCTGGTATTACTTCTCAAATGAATTACATAGCTTTCTCAGTACAGTTTAACATTTTAACTTTCCAGTTTTTCAGTGATAATTTATATTTTAACAATATTAATGAGATTTAGCAAATTTAAATATTTTTATTTCAGATATTCATGAAAATATCAAATATGGTGAGCCCAATTTTATCCCTTCATAGTTTTAGTTAAGTGCTACAAACTTTCTCTCAAAATAGGTACTTACCAATAAAATAATTACTTAATTCATCCTCTGAAATTAGAGACTTCATACCAAAGTTAATGATAAAGTTTTATTTATCTCTCTAAAGTAATGTTATTGGTTGCTTCCACAAAAGGACAGAAATCAACATATATCTTTACATTTTTTGCTTAAATGTACACAAAAATGGGAAATATATTCAGTTTAATATGTTCTATATTGTTATTTAGATTAATTACCAGTTTTATGTTCCTTTTTTTCAGGACATATTTTGATAACATAGTCGCAATAGACTCTCTACTTGAACACATAATGGTAGGTTGCTTTTTATTTTGAAAGTGATTGTATTTAACCGTTAGATTCATGTCCTAATACGTAGTAGAATATTTTCATGTATTTGATGTATAAAGTGTTTTAAATAAGATGAAAAGATGGTGCTTAGTGAGCGGAGGTGTTGCTTTGATTTATTTGTCACTTTTGATTAATTTTGGAGGTATTTTGAATAACTTTTGGAAAAACATCTGAGTTTTTCATTATTTAGTGGTGAGCTATACTTTGAAAAAACATTTAGTTCCTTTTTATACTCTCCAAAATACCTTTTGCCTACCGATTGACCTTAGGAATTCCCAGCTGACTCTTCTTGATCTTAAGGTCCCTTCTGTTTAGTTTTAATCTTAATTATTCCTCTCTATCTGGAAGACTAATAGGCACTTGGAGCTGAAAGCCATAGGAAGTAGAGTTTTATCCATATTTTCTTGTGTTGCTGCTTTAGTGCTCTGGCGAGGACTCCATTAAAGAAGTGGCTTACAGCCAAAGTGACCTGTATGTGCACTCCACAGGTTGTCAGGCTTGCTTGGTACCATTCTTGCCCTGTTGTGTATTTTGATAAGGGTTCTTTCTCCTTCCCATTTTCCTGGTCTTTTCTCAAAAGATAGTAATCCTATGCAGTAAGTTATAGGTTTATAGGCTTATCTCCAGGCTTCATGATACACACTGATGTATTTCTCTTTGAAATCATGGCAATTGAGTATGGAGTATGATATGCTCAGTGTCTTGTAGAGACAGAAAGTTTATGAAGGGAATTAGTAACATTAGGGGTTATTTATTGCTTTCAAGCCCATTCCTTATATAATTAGTTATATTAATAGTTTTATTTGGATGAAAAAGAGTTCTTAATTGCATAGTAAAAAATAATTTGTTTGGTTATGACAAAATTTAAGGAGTTTGTAAAGAAGTGAAAAATATTAAGAAAACTGTAAAAATATAAATATCTGGATTGACATAACTTGACTAGGAGTATAAGAAGTACTCGTTGACTAGTATTATTAACATTTTCTTTTTAAAAACAGTTTTATTGAGATATAATTACACAGCACATTATTCATCCATTTAAAGTGTTCAATTCAGTGGTTTTTAGTATATTCAAAGATATGTGCAACCATCACCAGTCAATTAAGAACATGTTCATTACCTCAAAACAACACTCCATATCATTTTAGCCATCACCTACTTATGCCCCCACCCCCCCCACACACAGTCCTAAACAACCACTAATCTACTTTTTTTTTCTATGGATTTACCTATTCTAGACATCTTACATCAAAGAGATTGTGTAATGTATGGCCTTTTGTGCCTGGCTTTTTTTCACTTAGCACACTGTTTTCTCAAAGTCCACCCAGGCTGTAGCAAGTACGAGAACTACTACATTTTTTATCCTTTCATTGGCTGATAAACATTTGGATTGTTTCCACATTTTGGCTAATGTGAAAAGTGCTACTTTGAACATCTGTATACATTTTTTAAATTGTATTCAGTTGGTTTGGGTGTATACTTAGGAGTGGAATTACTGGGTCATATGTTAAGTGTGTGTTTCACTTTTTGAGGAACTGCCAGACTGTTTCTGTGCAGTTGCACCATGTTATGTTCCCATTGGCAGTGCACATAGGTTCTGGTTTCCCCACATTCTCACCAACGCTGGTTACCATCTGGCATTTCGACCTAATGCCAGTATTATCCAAGGATAGAAAAAAGGAAAGCCATTGAGCAAAATATCGATGCAAAAGTCAGAAATATGTAATAACAACAAACCCAGGAGTAAAGATTACATCACAGCTAAACAGCATTCACCCCAGGAATGCAAGAGTGGTTCAACAGTAAGTAATAAAGTAAAATAATTCCTTATTCTAATTGAGTAAAGGAAGAAAAATTACATCATTTTAATAATGGCATACAAAAATTTTATAATGCTCAATACCCAATAACTGCAAACTCAACAGCAAATTAGGAATAGAAGGAAAAGTTAAATAGTATCTGCTGGGGACCTACAACAAACATACCTAACAATTAGGTAGAAGAAGTGTACACATTGAGGAAGATTTGTTACTCTCACTGCTTCCATCCAACAGTGTTCTTGTTTTCACTGAATTTTAAATCCATTTTTGTTATCGGAAATTGTTTTCCACTTACAAGTAAACTTCTGTGTGTGCGTGTGTGCGTGCGTGTGTGTGTGTGCACTTGCGCGTATGCATGCGCATGCCTCCATAGGAGAGGCGGGTGGCTTTTAGAATGACCTTATGAAGCTTGGAGCTCATAAATATTCCCAAAATGTGTCTAGCATTTCTCTATTCCTTTTCAGCGTGTGAGAGCGCCATTTCAAACTGAAAGCCTAATATTTGGCGAGAATGAAAATGTAAACATATGTTCAGAATCACTAATCTCTGAACAGAAGCCTTTCTCACTACCTGTAATTGTTCTTCAGTTGATTTTTCAACATAATAACATTATCACTGAACAGTAGAATTCTCTTCTCAAATATGTATTTTCTTACTTAATTGTGTTTTTTTTTTTTTTAATTGAGGTGTAATTGACAAACAACATTAGTTTCGGGTGTACAACGTAACAGTTCGACGCTTGTGTACGGGGCGAAATGATCACCGTAATAAGTCTAGTCACCAAACATCACCATAAAAAGTTACCCCCCCAGATTTTTTTCTTGTGATAAGAACTTTCAAGATCCACTCTCCCAGCCACCTTCAAATAGGTGCTGTAATACCATTGAGTATAGTCACCATGCTGCATACCACACCTCCATGACCTATTCATTTCACAGCTGGAAGTCTGTATCTTCCACCCTCATCATCCATTTTGTCCACCTCCACCCCCCTCCACACTGGCAACCACCACTCTGTTCTCTCTATCCATGAACTTTGTTTTGTTTTGTTTGTTTGTTTTGTCTTTTAGGTGCCAGATATGAGTGAGACCAAATAGTATTTGTCTTTCTCTGTCTGACTTATTTTACTTAGCATAATAGCCTTCAGATCCATCTGTATTGTCACAAAAGGCAAGATTTCATTCTTTTTTATGGCTGAGTAGTATTCCATCGTATATACATATACCACATCTATTGGTGGACGCTTAGGTTGTTCCCATATCTTGACTATTGTGAATAATGCTGCAGAGAATGTGGTGGTGCAGGTATAGCTTTTCGAGTTAGTGTGTTTGTTTTCTTAGGATAAACACCCGAAAGTAGAACTCCTGGGTCATATGGTAGGTCTATTTTTAATGTTTTTAGGAACCTCTGTACTGTTTTCCGTAGTAGCTACACTAATTTACATTCCCATCAACAGTGCACAGGAGTTCCCAATTTTCCACATCCTTTCCAGCACTTGGTATTTCTTATCTTTTTGATACTGGTCCTTCTAACGGGATTTAGGTGATACCTCGTTGTTGGTTTGGGTTTGCATCTCCCTGATGATTAGTGATGCTGAGCATCTTCTCATGTACCTCTTCGCCATCTGCAAGTCTTCTTAGGAGAAATGCCTTTCAGATCCTCTGCCCATTTATTAATTGGGTTGTTTATTTTTTGCTATTGAGTTGTATGCATTTTTTAATGTATTTTGGAGATTAGTCCCTTACCAGATATATGATTTGTAAGTATTTTCTCCCATTCAGTAGGTTGCCTCTTCGTTTTGTTGATGGTTTCCTTTGCTGTGCAGAAGCTTTTCTAGTTTGAGTAGTCCCACTTATTTTTGCATTTGTTGCCTTTGCTTTTGAAATCAGATCCAAAAACAAAAACAAAGAAACAAAAACATTGCCAAGACCAGTGTCCAAGAGCTTACTGCCTATGTTTTGTTCTTGGAGTTTTATGGCTTCAGGTCTTCCATTCCATTAAATGGAATCCATTTTGAGTTAATTTTTTTATGTTATAAAATATTAGTCCAGTTTCATTCTTTTCCATCATGGCTCTCTAGTTTTCCTGGCACCATTTACTGAAGAGACTATCCTTTCTCCATTTATATTCTTGCCTTCTTTGTCATAAATTAATTGACCATATATGCGTTGACTCTCTATTCTGTTCAGTTGATCTACATTTCTCTTTTTATGCCAAAACCATTCTGTTTTGATTTCTATAGCTTTGTAATAAGTTTGAAATCAGGGAACATGATACTTCCACCTTTGTTCTTTCCCACAATTGCTTTGCCTATTTGAGATATTTTGTGGTTGCATACTAATTTTAGGATTCTTTATTCTAGTTTGTGAAAAATCCCACTGGAATTTTGATAGAGATTGCATCAGATCTGTAGATTGCTTTGGGTAATAGGGACATTTTAACAATATTAATTCTTCCAATCCATGAGCATGGAGTATCTTTCCATTTATTTGTGTCTTCAGTTTTTTTCATCAGTGTCTTAAAATTTTCAGTGTACAGGTCTTTCACTTCCTTGATTAAATTTATTCCTAGGTATTTTATTCTTTTGATGTAAGTGTAAATGGGATTGTTTTCTTAATTTATTTTTATGATAATTCATTGTTGGTGTATAGAAATGCAACAGGGGGCACCTAGGTGGCTCAGTCGGGTTGAGCATCTGACTTTTGGTTTCAGCTCAGGTCATGATCTCATGGGTCGTGAGATCAAGCCCAGAAGCATTGGGCTCCACGCTCAGCTGGTTTCAGCTCAGGTCATGATCTCATGGGTCGTGAGATCAAGCCCAGAAGCATTGGGCTCCACGCTCAGCAGGGAGTCTGCTTAAAGATCCTCTCCCTTTTGCCCATGCCCCCTGCCAATTAAATAAATCAAATCTTTAAAAAAAAAAAAAAAAAGGAAGAAATGCAACAGATTTTTGTATGTTCATTTTGTATCCTGCAACTTTTTACTGAATTTGTTCATTAATTCTAATAGTTTATTGGTGGAGATTTTAGGGCTTTCTATACGTAAAAGGATGTCAGTTTTACTTCTTTTTATCAAAGTTGAATGCCTTTTATTTCTTTTTCTTGCCTCACTGCTCTGGCTAGAACTTTCAATACTGTGTTGAACAGAAGTGGTGAGAGTGGGTATCCTTGTCTTATTCCTGATCTTAGAGGAAAAGCTTTCAGCTCTTTATCATTGAGTATGATGTCAGTTCTCAGCTGTGTTCATCTCTCCTTCTCCCATGTTCGGTGAGCGTCTCTATGACCATTACTTTGGATTCTATCAGGTAAGTTACTTATCTCCGTTTCACTAGTTGTTCTTCCTGAGGTTTTATCTTGTTCCTTTGTTTGGAACATATCCTCTGTTTTCTTCATTTTGCTTGACTCTCTGTGTTTGTTTCTATATATTAGGTGAAACAGCTGCCTCTTCCAGTCTTGAAGGAGTGACCTGGTGCAGGCAGTGAACCTTATCATTCAACTTGCCCTAGTGCTTGGTTGTCTTTCAGACCTTTGTGGTTATCTGAGGAGCCTGATTTCTTCTGATAGGTCCCCGTTGTTGCGGGTGTGTCAAGACCTAATAGTGTTGCACAGGGAAAGATTTCAGTCAGCACCTGGTTTCTGGCTGATTGGAACCAAGAGTGTCAGGCACCAGCTTTTGAAATATATAAACAGTCCTGTGGGACCACAGTCGTGAACCCTGCTGGCCTCCAGACCAGGTGATCTGTAAAAATTGGTGACCATTGTAAAAATTGGGCCTCCAGACAAGTATATCAGCTCCTTTCTGAGAGGAACTGGCAAGCTGTAGCAAGACCAAGGGAGAACACAGAGATGGCGTCCCCACCCTGCTTTCCCAGATGGCACCTCTGTAGTCTCTTGATGTGTGGCAAACCTAAGTCTGCTCCTCAGGTTGAGGTGCCAGGACAAGTAAATAGGCCTTCTTCACAGGAAGACTAAGGGTGTGTTTCAGTCTGCCATCTGTGTAGTGCCCTGGGGTAGTAGCCTGCCGAGAACAGTCTTTCCGGTTGTCATAATCCTATAGGACCCAGGAACGCAAGCTCCCCACCCCCCACCCCAGCCTCCCCGGCCAGATGATCAAGGGGCATCCCCTGAACAGACTGCCTACGCCCTGCCAGCTTTAGCGAGGCTGAGGGAGAGCACTGGGCGGGGGTGCACCCACCAGCTTTGACAGGGCCACAGGAGAACATGGGACTGGAATGTGGCCCACCAGCACTTTTGTGTCCCAAAAGGAAAAGGCTCCTGCCCGTCCGGCAGACACTTTAAAATTAGTAAATGAATCTCCTTCGCATACATTCTAAGAGCTTTTCCAGCTGCTGCTTTGTGCTGGTCTCTGGGCAAGTAAGTCTGCATGGGAGCCTGGTGGGTCTACTGGGTATAAGCCCTGTTGGTGTTCAAAGCCAGACATTGTAGGGGCTTCGATATGGGTATATATACACACATACATATATTCTTCTATTCCATTTTACTGAAGTTTTTATCATGAATGATTGCTGAATTGCATCACATGCATTTTTGACAACCATGAAGGTAATTGTGTGATTTGTTTTCCTTTGTTTTATTGTATTATGAAAGAATAGAGTTTATGATGCTGAACAGTTCTGAATAAAGTATAATTTTTAAATATTGTAATGTTAATTTATTCCTAAGTTTAATTTGCTGAAAATTTTTATTTATGAGTTTTCTTCTGTTTCCAAGGTAAATTGGTTTGTGATTTTTTTTTTATAGTATCTTTGTCAATTTTCAGTATCAGTAGTTTAGCAGGTGTTCTAAAAATAACTGAAAAAGTTTTGTTTTTTCTGAACATAGAACACTGTAAATTGGACGTGAATTTATTTGTTGAAGATTCTTAAGTAATTCCTATTTGAAATCATTCGGGCCTGAGACCTTTTATGGGGATAATTCTTTGACAGTTGTACAGTTGTCTTCAGATTTTTCAACTACTTCTCAATTCATTTCTGTTTTCTAGAAAATTGTCCATTCCATTCAGATGTTTATAAATATTAATATAAATATGTGCCAAAGTGTTAAGCAATTAACATGACCTAGGCAATAGGGATGCAAATTCCGCTTTTCATAATGTAATCTCTAATAGTGTAGGATCGTTATTATTACTTAATAATTCAAGATCCCATGAGTTTGCAAAATAGATGGGTGATTCTTCTGTTTGCCAACAATACAGTCTCATTACTGTCTCCCTAACTTTATGTCATTCATCCTTCCTCAAATATTTATTGAGGGTTCCTAGGTTATGGAGATCTTATATGTTCTAAAGGGTTGGCAGATGTTTTTTTGTTAAGGGTTAAATAGTAAAGTTTTATGCTTCATGGACCATACTCTATTGCAGTCACTCAACTCTGCCGTTGTAGCATCCTTAAACGATACATAAAGGAATGAACATAGTTCTTTCCCAATAAAACTTTATTTATAAAAACAGACAATGGACTAGATTTGGCAGATGGATTTTAGTTAGCTGACCTCTACTCTAGGCATTGTGCTGGGTTTTTGGAATATTGTGGGGAGAAAAAGAAGCAGTTTCTGTTGTCACAGAACTCAGGATTATGGAAAGAGACAAATTGTAAGTTATCCTACTGATAATACCCAATGTACTCAGTCCCCGGCATAGCCAGTATTTGTTGAGTGAGTGAGTACAGTTTATAAAGACAAGTATAAACTATGAGGATGAACCAGGGTACCTAAACCGTGCTGATTTCATTAAATTTGTAGTTTTACGTGAGATTTTATATTTTCCTCTGGCCACAAGGTGGCCCATGTCCCTCTTGCGTAGACTTTGTGATGGCTCTTTTTCTCTGAGAATCAGCTCTTTTCTCTGGAGAATAATTTCATGTCTAAAATCTGGAGGGTTGAAGTTGCCAGAATTCTTAATCCAGGTAAATATGCTAATTGAACCGTAACTGTGGGCTCAACCCACAAGGGACAGTGGGATATTTTAGGCATTAAAGAAATAATTGTGGAAGGAAATCGATGAACAAGTGAATGACAAAATGAATACACAGTTTTCCAATTAGAAATGAAAAAGCATACTTGTTTTAAGAGCATAGGCCATGAAAACAACTAGTATGAGTTCAAATACCCAATCTGCCATTTACTAGCCATGTGATAGTGGACAAGTTTAGTTACCTCTCTGCCTCAATCATCCTAACATGTACAGTGGAGATAAAAATATTCCCTGACTTAATATTGTGATTGTGGGGATTAAGTGAAGGAAGACACCTAAAGGGTGTGGGGGTGTTGGCACACATAGTAAACACTCAATAATTGTTACACGTTATTATTAGTGCAACAAGTAAAATGCAACAAATGTGAATATGAACCTCATTAGAAGTTGTATTTCGTATTTTTTCACGACTGCTGTATCACAAATGCCCGCCATCAGAATGCACTCCGGCCTTAGAGCTGACAGAGGCTGGTACCGGGCGTGAGGGTAAAGGCCTAGAGGTTCTGGAAGCGGGGCCAGGGTGCAGCAGGGCTCTGTGGAAATGAGGCCTACAGCTGCGTTCCGGCCCACAGGAAAGTCCTGTAGTGTTTCAACAGCCAGCCCCCGGACACCCATGCAGAGCAGCGGTGTCTACCTACGTCAGCATGTTAACAGGAACATACAGTGTTTTGTATTTGTATACCTCTGTTTATTGAGTTATAGTGCCAATTTTCCACGCAGAGTATAGATCAGCTGAAATTTGTATTTATTTCTGATAAAGTTTGCCTTTAAACTCTGAATTTCTCATTGGCTTACTCTTGTTTTATTGTTTGTCTTTAGATATATGCAAAAAATCTGGTGAATGCCGATCGTTGTGCACTTTTCCAGGTAGACCATAAGAACAAGGAGTTATATTCAGACCTTTTTGATATTGGAGAGGAAAAGGAAGGAAAACCTATCTTCAAGAAGACCAAAGAAATAAGGTACAGCTGGAAGTAGAATGTCCATACGCTGTGACTGCAGCTGTGCAGGTGTCCTGTTACCCACTTTCCTGTGCCTATTCGCAGGTGTGCTGACAGTACTTGTCATACTGTGATATCATTCCCACCAGGACCCGCCTCCTGAAGGTAGTACTTCTGGGAATGACATTGCAGTGCCGGCGAAAGCGCGCCTGGGAGGCTTTGGCGTCCCTCCTGGAAATGCAGTCTTCCGGAGGCGGTCCTTTTGGAAATCATGTCGGGAAACCTTACTAGTGCCCCAGGTAGGTAAAGGTATAGCCCGCCGGGAGTCTGCAGGTTGTCCTCTGCCCAGGAGCAGGGCATGCCTAAAAACTATTGCCCCTGCCCCTTCCCGTACTACGGGACTGTCTTGAAGCCCAGACCACAGTGGACATTGAGCTGGGGTATGTAATGACTTAGGCACATTATTCTGTAACTGACCAGTTGGTTTAATCAGTCACATAGCACACTTCTGTTGCATCTAGAAACTAAAGCCTTCTTTGTTCTTTAAATGGCAGCTACTGTCACTTAAACGAAGAGTGGAGTTTGGTAGAGGCTTGCTTGCTCAGTCATATCACAGTCTGAACATCTACAAGGAGCACTGTCACCAAACTTAAGAATCAAGCTTAACATTCAAAAATTGACTTTTTTTTTTTAGACATTTGCATCCCTTTTGCTTATGTATCTTGTTTAACTATTTTTCCACATAATAATATGAAGTCCTTTGGTAGTTACAACATTATAGTAAAACACTGTTCCTTATTAATTACGAATTGCCTGTCACATACAAGAGATAAGCAGATGTGCAAGAAGCAGGAGTGAGGCCCTGAGCCAGGCCTCACCACTGCCTGCCATGGAGCACTCCCCATTCTGCCTGCCACAGAGCCCTAGGGTGATGGTTCCTATATTCCACACTCACAGAACTCCGAATTAGAAGCACTATTTAGATTTTTATTTTTACTTGTTTTATTTTTGGTTTATTTGTGTCTTAGACCTCGGTAAATCAGTCTGGATATAGTCATTTAGGTAAAGTAATTTATCTTGCTAAAGGTTCAGGTGTTTCTTACCAGTGCTAGTATTGATCTCATTTTGGAGACAATAACTTGAAGTTTGTGTTGACAAGCGTCAGAGAAACAGTGAGGGAAATGTGGTTGGCTGCAGCTTTCTCAGTTGACCAGTGATGTCAGCTGTTTATGTGAGGGCCTGCCTCTTAATTATCTCCTGACTGGAGACAGCAAACCAAGAAAATCAAGCATAAATCATGAAATGGATTCTGATACTCTTTGCTTACAGCAGTCTAATTTGTTCCGTTCATGTTGTTCAAAGCACAAGAAAACCAGGATGAAACAAGCTTGCTTTTTATGCAATGTTGGGTTCACTTTTTGGCCTTTTAAGAAAGTTAATTCTCTTTTGTGTCACCTATCTTTTGGTTTTTCCCTTAAGGTTGAGCTTTACTTCAATGATAGTTACTTCCTATAATGTTGAAAATGTAATATTATGGAAATTATTTTCAAGCTATTGAAATCTGTAGATATTGTGGACCGTAGACCTCTTTCTTAAAATTTTGTAATGAGTGCATGTACTATGATGATATTATAATGAGAAAACTGTTTAGAAAATGAGAATATATTTATAAAAGAAAGTGCTGATATTATATACCAAAACATAATTAAGTATAATCAAATAATGCTTGTATTTTGACTGGTTTTAAATTTAACAAATAAGAGAAGCAAAGATACTAGAAGTTGTAAATTGTGTTATTTTTATATAGTGCTTGTGTTGCAAAAGGCTTAAAGTCCCAGTCCTGCCTAGTATCTCAAATCAAATATAACCTGTAAGTTTGGTTATATGTGTGGTGGAAAATACACTAGTGTAGACCTGCTTCCTTGTTTTTATTGTGCCACTAACTTTTTTAGGAATGTTGGTAGGTTACTGAACCCTTATGGGCTTCTGTTCCCACCACAGTGAGAATTAATTAAGAAAATTTATGTTGAGGGGAGCCTGTCTGGGTTAGTCATTAGAGCATGGGACTCTTGATCTCAGGGTCGTGAGTTCAAGCCCTATGTTGGGCAAGGAGAAAGAAGGAAAGAAAAGGAAGGAAGGAGGTAGGAAGAAAATTAAAGAAAATTTATGTTGAAGCATCTTGTAAATTATAAGGTACTTTGCAAATATAAAGGATTATTATTGGTCAGTAGAGGAGAGTGCTAGTTAATTTCTCAATTTCAATTTGTAATCCAGTATAACTTAATATATTGTGGATTATATCTTAAACCAAGCTTCTCTAGTGATTACCGTGCAGTGTTTCTCTGCTTTACCTTTACATGTTATATAGTAATAGGATTTCGAAAATGTAAATGTAAAATTAATGCAAGTATTTAAAAACAAAACAGTGCTTTTTTTCTTTATTATTTAGTGGTAATGAAATGTTTCAAGTTATTTTATAACATCTGTATTTTAATTGGCATGTCCCTCTCTTTTATATCTGCAGATTTTCAATTGAGAAAGGAATTGCTGGTCAGGTAGCAAGAACAGGGGAAGTCCTGAACATTCCAGATGCCTATGCAGACCCACGCTTTAACAGGTAAGAAATCGTTTATGCCCCTGTCAGTCTCTCCTTCACGTCCCATCTGGCTGGAGCCTCTGCGCTGGAGCCCCCAGCTCCCCACCCACGTGCCAGTGCAGTTAGCGCCTTCCTCCTGGGCGCTCTGCTATACTTTATTTGAACCAACTCTATTATCAGTACCCAGTGTTTCCAGATATTTGTAAAATGATAGACTCGAAACCATTAATGATATCCAGCTTATAGGATATTAAAATGTTATAAAAGCATTTATACAGGAAGAGTTAAAGTTTGCAAGGCTGCTTTTGTTTTCATTATAGTGTTAATCATTCTATCCTGGGCGTGTTCTCCATCAGACCATACCCTACAAGGCAGTAACACCTATTGATGAAAGTACCTACTTGTGAATTCAGTTCCGTCACTTATTAGTTCTAGAGTGACCTGGAGTGAGTTATTTAATCTCACTGAGCTTCTGTCTCCTCATCTTTAAAATGGTACAGTAATGCCTATTTTATAGGGTGCTTTTTGTTTTGTTTGTTTTTGTTTTGGTAAGATTAGAGAAAATACTCGTAAGAGATCTGACAACTTTCCCTGATACAAAGTGGGAACTCCATAAGTTGCTCTTTTTACCGGATATTATTAAAGTTGGATATTAGATGGCTTATAAAGATTTTTTGTTTTGTTTTGAGTTTCTTTGGAGGACTAGGAACCAAATTATATAATCTGATTTAAATAAATCTCTAGAAATTGAAAGTCTCAAGATTGATGCTGTGACTGGGAGTAATAGTTCAGATATTTTGACAGTAGTGTTCTGTTAATTCAAATATTTGGTTCACTTTAAGAGGAATTGAATAGCATAAACAATAAGTTTTTTCAGAAATTTGATTAGTGTCAAATATGTGCAACATGTACGTAAACACAGTTATATCCCAGTTGATACGTCTTATCAGTAAATTAAAGAGTATGCAGAAAATCTCAGGGTTTTTTCCCAAAACCAAACTTGTTATTTTAGTGCTTAAATATTGAAAATATTTATATATCCTGATTTAAAACTGTTATGTAAAAGTTTTATGGGTCAACTTTTAAGAACATGAAAAGGCAAGCAACAGATTGTGAGAAAATATTTGCAAAACATATATCTGAAAAATACTCACATCCAGAGGATGTAAACAACTCTTCCAACATAATAAGATAACCTAATTTAATAATAGGACCCAAAATTTTAATAGACATTTCACAGAAGAAGATACATGAATGGCCGTTAAACACATGAACAGATGTTTGATGTGGGGGAAACAGAAATTTGACTATGAGATCTCACTACACAACAATTTGAATGGATACAGTTTTTAAAAAGTGGCATCAGCAGGGGGCCTGGGTGGGCTCAGGGTCACGGGATCAAGCCCCACGTCAGGCTCCTCACTGAGTGTGGAGTCTGCCTGGGATTCTCTCTCTCCCTCTTCCTCTGCCACTCCCTCCCCACACACCAAATAGATAAATAAATCTTAAAAAAAAATAAAAAGTGGCATTAGCAAGTGTTGGCAAGGATGTGGAGAAACTTGGAATCACATACTTTGCTGATGGGAGTGTGTAATGGTACAACCACTTTGGAAAAAGGGTGTGCAGTTTCTTGTAAAGTTAAGCATATACTTACTGTACTCAATCAGCCCCACTCCTGTATCAAAAAAAAAATCTGTCCACACGAAAATTTGTATGCAGATCTTCAAAACAGCATTATTCACAATTGCCAGAAAACTGGCTGTTAACAAAACAATAATAGCCATTAACTGGTGAATGGATAAATAAACCGTGGTCTGTCCATACCCCACAATACCACTCCACAGTGAAAAGGGCTGAACCACTGATACCTCCTACAGGATAGATGAATCTCAAAACAGTTCAAGAAGCCAGGCACAAATGACCACCATCTCACTAACTGCCTTTAGGTACATGATTGTGTCTATGGAACGGAGTCCTGTTTGCAAAAAATATTTTCTCCAAATCAGGAGTCAGCAGAATTTTCTTTTAAGGATCAGATAGTAAGTATTTGGGGCCATAACGTCTCTGTCACGAGTCCTCAGCTGTGTTGTAGGGTGGTGACAATCCATTCAAGAATGGTGCCCTTGTCTTCCATTAAAACTGTTTACGAAACAGGAGAGGGCTAGTTTGGCCCAGAGGCTGTCGTGTGCTGACCCCTGCTCTAAATTCTCAAGGTGATAATTCCTGTTTAAGTTTGTCCATTAGCAAGTTACATATCTCAGAACATATGACCAAGTTCAAAGGAACATGTTACTTTACCAAATTTATCATATTTTTCCTCTGCATTCAGTTTGCCCCTGTTTACTTAATAATGCTGTGGATACATAAAACCGAATGATAAGCTGAAAGCCTCCAAGAGACTGTTCTGAAAAACTCTCTTGCAAATAAAAGAACAGATTGGTTAGAATATTTTTGATGAGATTTTAATGAAACACTTTCACATGTGTCACATTGTCCTTGAATTCAGAAGCTCAACAGTTCCATTACAAGTATTTGTAATAGAAGTGTGTAAATTGCAAAACTCAGTTGAGATTTATGATAGAAGCTATAGATTATTTTCTCCTGCGTGTTTGTGTGTTGCTGCTGTTTTCCTGCACGTGGCCGCAGGGAAGTGGACTTGTACACAGGCTACACCACCCGGAATATCCTGTGCATGCCCATCGTGAGCCGGGGAAGCGTGATCGGTGTGGTGCAGATGGTGAACAAAATAAGCGGCAGTGCCTTCTCGAAAACGGACGAAAACAACTTCAAGATGTTTGCCGTCTTCTGTGCTTTAGCCTTACACTGTGCCAATGTGAGTGCTGCTTCCGTGATTATCTTCCTCGGTACTCAGTATCCACTTTTAAAACTGGTTAAATAAAGTAGTTGAAAGGATGGGTTCTGTTGTTTTATTTTGTTTTTTCAGTATTTCCTTCATATGCCAGAAACAGTAATTCCTGGTTGTACATATTTTAGGAAATGTCTTCAAACACTTGGGGGAAAAAATCTAATATTTTAGCTTTTGTTTCAAGGTGTGAATTTGTTAAAAAGAAAAATGAGGTTAATATAAAGGTAAAATGTTTGAACAGAAGGTTTCTGTCTCATGGTATCTACTGAAATGAGTAAAGAAAAGGTGACCGGGCGCCTGGGTGGCTCAGTCGTTAAGCGTCTGCCTTCGGCTCAGGTCGTGATCCCAGGGTCCTGGGATCGAGCCCCGCATCGGGCTCCCTGCTCCGCGGGAAGCCTGCTTCTCCCTCTCCCACTCCCCCTGCTTGTGTTCCTGCTCTTGCTATGTCTCTCTCTGTCAAATAAATAAATAAAATCTTTAAAAAAAAAAAAAAAGAAAAAAGAAAAGGTGACCTGCACCATCATTGTTTGTCATATGGTGCATTTGAGAGTCTTGTATGAAAGAGAGCGATGAGTCCCATGTGAATGCCGCCCCGGACACGCTCTGGCTGTCCGCTCTCTGGACCCTCACGGCATGGCTGCCCTGGTTACTGCGTAATCCATGCAGTTCCACTGGTCTTAGGAAGTCTCCCTTTAAGATAGTTGGCAAAACATCTAGGATTCTATCAACTCTAGGAATCCTTTAGTGATATTACTGGTATTCTGAAGTCAGGGAAAATTTTATTCACTTTTTTTTCAAAGCTAAACCAACATAAATGGGAGCTAACACCTTCCTAACGTAGAAAAATGGCCTTTTTGGAAATAGAACTGTAAGTTCCATAGGAGCAACCACATAGCTCGTGGAAACAGCTGAGGGATGATTAGGAACAAAAATGGCAAAAAATAATGCCCTGGTGACTGGGGATAACGGTTTGCAGTTCGGTTGGTGCTGCTCCATAAGAACACCCGCTCTTCCCGCTGTGTCACCATGTGCCCACTCATGGGGACCTCTCTTGTTACTCAGTTCATCAGAAATACATTAGTGCAGTTGTCAGGTACTTCCTGCTTCAGACATTTTCTGTAGCTATATTTCTCTCTCATAAATAAAAATATTGACAGCTTACATTTGTTTAGTTTAAAAGTTGCAGAGAATGTAATTTCTAATATATCCTGAATATTGATTTTCATCGATTTTTAAATGTATCCGATGGGATCTAACTACTGTAGCTACTTGAAGCCAGTTTAGTCCATTTAAGAATGGACTTATGATTGGAAATTACAGTATCATTCTTTTCTCTCTCTGAATGTGTATTTCTATTACCCCACAAAAGTTTGATCTCATGTAATGTATTTTATTCTTAAAAGTGTTTTATTAATTAAGATAATCTAAAACATCTATAATAAATGTTAAAAATTAATTTTGCTTGTGGTAGTGTATTATATGTCATTATTAGGATACATGTGGTCAAAGCAACCATGTTAGGAAATTTTAATAAGTAATTATCAAAAAAAATACAAATTATTGGAAACTGTTATATCCTAATGTGATGTCTATGGCTTAAAATAAAAAACAGTTAATATATCCGTGCATACATTTTACCTACTTTAGAATGAAACTAAGTTTAGTGTAAGTTTTTTATACTCTCTGTCTTGAATTAACTTCAGACAGAAAGCAAAGTTGCAAAAATAATACAAAGATTCCCGTGCTCCCCAGTGTTGATATGTTACCATTTTTACTTTGATATTCTTTCTTTCTTCTCTCTCTGTCTCATTCATAGATGTCATATTCCTCTGACCTGTTTGAGAGGAGGTTTTAGACAAAATGTCTCATAACCCTAAATAAATACTTCAGCTTGTGTTTTCTAAAGACAGATACGTCATCTTACTCTTCGCTGCATAACTTAAGAGTCCAGAGATTCACATTGGTTCTGTGTTGTGTGTGAGACCTACCACAAGCAGCACCACAGACCGGGTGGCTTAAAGAACAGAAAGGTATTTTGTCACGGTTCTGGCAACTGGAAGTCCAAGATGTCAGTGGGTTTGGTTTCTTTGGAGCCTCTCTCCTTGGTCTGTAGAAGGCTTCGTTTCCCTGTGTCCTCATAAGGTCTTCTCTCTGTGCATGTCTGTGTCCTAAGCTCCTTTTCTTGTAAGGACACTTGTCATACTGAATGTGGGCCCACCCTGTTGACCTCATTTTACCTTAATTACTTCCTCGAAGGCCCTATGTCGAAATATATCACATTCTGAGGTAGGTACTGGGGCTTTAAGGTTTCAACATAGGAATTTTAGGGAGCACAATTCAGCGCCAATCAGGTACCAGATATTGTTTAGCTAAACTGTGAAGTTCTTTAGTGTCCTTTAATCTGGAACCATTCTTTACTCTTTGCCTTGCATGACCTGAGTACTTTTGAAGAGTATAGGCCAATCATTTTGTAGAATGCTTCTTAATGGGCTTGTCCAGTATTTCCGCATGATCATATTGAGGTTATAATTTTGACAGGAAGAGGGCGGAATGATGTGTTCCCGTTGAGTCCCGTTAGCAGGCACACATCCTTTCACTGGTGATGTTAGCTTCATCACTTGCTTAAGGTCGTGTCTGCCAGGTTTCTCCTCTGAAACACTTTCCCTCTTTTTCTCACTGTTTTGGAAGAGAGTTTGTATGGAAGCCTCTGCCATCATTCTCTTCTCTGTCTCCCAGAGATAGATACAGACACCCCCTGTCTCGCACCGCAGAACTCCTTCTGGCCATCTCCTTTCCATCTTTGGAACTTTGTTCTTTGACATAGAGGAACTGTATTCCCACTATTCAGCAACAGTGTTATTCCTACTCGTTGAGGAAGTTTTGAGGAAGCCCTAAGAATTGCTTTCATTAATGAGTAAATAGCAGAAAGAATTTTATTATAGCAATTTCTCTTAATTCAAACTCCACCTGAGCTAAGATGCCAAAAAGTACTGATAACTCTACCATCAAAAGTTATTTTAAATGATCTATCAGCTGAAAATTTATTTAGTTTCACCACCTTCAATATTTTATGAAAACTTTAGAAACTACTATTAGACCTCATTAATACCATATTTTATATTTCCCTTTGTTTCAGGAGGTTTTTATATTAGAGCAATTTGAGGAAGGGGTTATTCTGAAATGGGAGGTGGACAAAAGTCATTTTTTAGGTCAGAGTATGTGTGAAAGTTAAGGAGGTAGAAATCGGTCCTCTTAAAATGTTTACAGGTTTCCATGTGTTTCTTGAAGAATGCATCCCTGTCAGTGTAGACACTCGAGTTAACTCGGCTGTATCATTAGAGGATCTGGCTCCACAGGTCCAAAGCTTTTCTAACCTGCTGAGTGTTGCATCACAAAACCTGGATGCAAACATGATTAAATGTTTATACCAAACTAAACCCAAATTTAAACAAGAAAAATAACACCCCTGAAAAGTCATGAATAAGTTAACAGGAATTCTGTCTTTACATTTTTAACCTGATCCAGGTTGTTCTTCAACCATATGAGAAGGAGGCTTGTGTACCAGTTGGCCCACACAATTCACAGTTATGAAGGTAGCTTTGAAATGGACTCCTATTTCCATTGTGCTGCCCACGTATTTGCTGCTTGTGACAAAGTTCTTGGAATAGTTGTTGAATTCATACATTATTGCACATTTCATCTTTCACAAAAAAATCTTCAAGTGTGCCGATCTTTTCTGATGACAAAGGGCAATCAATATTTAATTATTTGGAAGATATATTCAAATAAACAGTATTTAATCTGACTTTGGAATCTCAAGTGACATTCACACTGAATAAGAAATCAGCTGCTTTTCCAAATAAACTTGTCCTGTAAAGAGAGCACGTGGAAAACAGAGGTCTGCAAGTATTCTCCTTGTCGCTGTCACGTTATCATGTGACTCCCATATACACGTTATCATAGGCCTTTACAGAGACCGGGAGCAGAACATTTCTAAGCAGCTTTCCTGAGGTTTATGAACACGTGGTACGCTGAGTGTATCTGGAGTGTACAGGTTGACAAGTGCATGTACACACAGCCCAAGGAAACCATCACTCCATCAAGACATGGTGCATCCACTGTGTCACGGGTTTCTGGGTGCCCCTCAAAACCCTCCCTCATGACCCTCCCCATCTTTACCCCCAGTTTCAGGGAACCACTGATCTGCTTTTTGTCACCATAATAAATTACTTTGCATTTTCTAGAATTATTTTATATAAATGGAATCATAAAAATCTGTATTCTTTTTTGTCTGGGTTCTTTCACTCAGCATTATTATTTTGAGATTCATCCATGGCATCGCATGTATAAATAGTTCATTCTTTTTTATTACTGACTATTCCATCAAATGGATATACTATAAACGATTTTGTCACCTATTGATGGGCATTTGAGTTATTTCTAGGTTTTAGCTATTACAAATAAAGCTGCAGTGAGCATCTATGCACAAGTCTTTGTACAGTGTATGCTTTCCTTTCCATTGAGTAAATACCTAGATACGGAGTGGCTATGAGGCATTTATCCGATAAGTTATTTGCAAATATTTGCTCCCAGTGTTTGGCTTGTCTTGTCATTCTCAACAGTGTCTTTCTAAGAGCAGTTATTAAGCTTGAAGAAGTCCAACTTATTTGGGTTTTTTTTCTTTTTATGATCATGCTGTTAGCATTTTATCAAAGACATATTTGCCTAACCTAAGGTCACAAAGATTTTCTATGTTTCTTCTAGAAGTTTAGGTTTTACATTTAGGTTTGTGATCCATTTTGAGTAAATTTTTGCATATGGCTAAAGGTAAGGGTCATCTTGCGTTTATTTATTTGCATGTGAGTGTCCAGTTGGTCCAGCACAGTTTGTTACATTTGCTGTCCTTTGTCCACCATCTTGCCTCTGCACACCTGTTGAAAACCAACTGATGTTTAGGAACATTATGTCCTCTTGACATAAGGACCCCGTTATCATTTGGAATAATCCTTCTTTATCCCTGTTAATAGTCTTTGCTCTGAAATACACTTTATCTGATATTAAGCCACTCCAGCTTTCTTTTGACTGGTGTTATATGGTATATCCTTTCCATCATTTTACCTTATTTAGGTCTTTATTTTTGAAGTAGGATTCTTGTAAACAGCATAAGCTGGGTCTTCCTTTTTTCTTCAGTCTGGCAGTCTTTGCTTTTTAACCAGGATATTTCTACTATCACATTTTATGTTTAAGTATAAATCCACCATCTTGTTGTTTTCTGTTTTTTCCATCGTTCTTTATTCCCTTTTACCTCCTTCTTCTTTTAAAATGGAATTTTTTTTATGACTTGACTTTATGAAACAGCTTTTAACTTACTAAAATCTTCCCCATGAAGAGTTTCATTAAGTTTCATTGGTTTTAAACCTGGTGGATAATATATAAAGATGCAGCTAATTCGTTTGCAGGATTAACTGATTGGCATCAGGGGAAATGGAAAATTATGTGATTTTAAGCCAAAAATGTTAGCGGCTAGGGAGCAAAACTATAAGTGTGATGTTTAAGAACAGCTAGTCCTTTATTCTCTTTGGATCCACATACTTTTTGGCGTATCTTTCTCAAATAGTATAACTGAAAATCTCTTAAGTATTAAAATAAATCAAACTGAACCCAGACCTTAACATCACCATCTCACAAGTCATTGAAGAAAACACTTGACAATTGATAACATACATTTAATTAGTCCTTTCATTATAAAATATGTAATTGTCTAGTAAGAATAAAAAGTCTTGCTCAGTAATAAAATATTAAAAGTAAGTACTTTGTATTTTTATCTTTTTCTATTTCTGTATATATCTGCACAGTGCATGTGCATGTAATTGCTAAAGGACTGTACATTTATTGGGCGTGCCTCTCCAAACTTCTTTCACTGATAATGGATTTCATGGTCAAGCATTGTTGAGACTCCCTGGACTAAAGGACTTTGACATTACCAAGAATTAAAATAAGTATTTTTTAAAAGGAGACATAGGAAAAAATCTTAACTGCTGACTGATGGAGTGTCTGTCTCCATGTGTTTGGATGCAGGAATGGACCGCGTGGCCTAGAAACAGCAGACACTGATTTCTCACGGTTTTTGAGGCTGGGTGTCTAAGAAGGGACCAGTGGATAAATACCAAGGAATCTCATGACCCAGGGACAGTGTCTGGGTGCAGAAGTTAATAAGTCTTTTAAAATGGAAATAAAATTTTTTTTTAAACTTAGTGTTTTGTATCTTCAAAGGCACAAGTGTGGGCATCTTCAGTGTATATGAAATGCATGGTACTAGCAGTTAATAGATAACAACAGTGGTTTCCGTTCCAGTTCTGATTCTTAGTGACGTAACTGCTTTAAACACTCCTTTCGGTTTATTTTTTGTTTTTTGGATTTGCCTTCCAGATGTATCACAGAATCCGTCATTCCGAGTGCATTTACCGGGTGACTATGGAGAAGCTGTCCTACCATAGCATTTGTACAGCGGAGGAGTGGCAGGGCCTCATGCGCTTCAACCTCCCCATGCGCCTCTGCAAAGAAATTGAATTGTGAGAATCTTGTCCTGTCTGTTTCTCCAGGAATGGATTTTTCATTTGATTCAGCCTAAAGTGACATGGGTACAGAAGTAGAATTGCAAAGACTGTATCACGTGTGTGGTTCCATTGTTGCCATTGTCCCTTCTCAGTTGACGCCACATCTCATGAGAGATCCTGGACAGGAAGGCCACATCTCTTTATCGTTAGAAAAAAAAATCTCAACACCATTTTGAAATGAGTTAAATGTTAGCTTTCCTCATTAGTCTTCTGCCTACTTTACACCATATATATGGCACTTAATGCTGAAGATGGCATTGAATATCCGAGATCTAAAAGTTTTCATTTCCGTATAATCTTAAATTTACAGACTGAATTTTAGGATTTAGTAATAATGAGTGCAGGTGTCACACACGTGGACAGCCAGCTGGCCTGTAAAGCCACGGGTCGGTCAGCGATTGCCCATCTGTGCTCTTGCCCCGTCTCTGTGCAGGGGTCTCTGCCGGCTCCTTCAGCAGAGCGCTCCTAAACACTAATGGTTTGGTACTGCCCTATTCAAATGGATTTTTTGCTCAAATAAACTCTTAAGACTTTTTATTTTGCTTCAGTTTATCTTTGAATGGTTCATATATAGTACATATTGTGACATAATAAGAAATATATATATTTGGTCTCTGTAGCTAGTTTCTGGCTCACAGCTCCTAAAACCCTTGAATTTCCTGAGTGATTCATCATGAACCTCTTTCAACCACACTTGAGTTTTTGCTATTGAAGGACTATAGGAGGAAGGGGGCTGGTTGCCCAAGGAACCAACCATGTGGTTTGGGGATTGTAATTTTCAGCCACCCTCAGACCTCCTGGGAGGGGCCAGGGACTGGGCATTGAGTTAATCACCAGTGACCAGTGATTTAATCAAATGCTCCTATGCAGTGGAACCTCCAAAAACCCTAAACAAGCGGTTCAGAGAGCTTTTAGGTGGGTGAACACATTCAGTGCTGGGAAGGTGGTGCACCTACAGAGGCATGAAAGCTCCTCAGTCCTTCTTCCCACGTGGCCTGCCCTACACATCTCTTCCATTTGCCTCTTGAGTTGTATCCCTAATAATAAACTGGCAACGGTAAGTAAAGTGTTTCCCTGAGTTCTGTGAGCTATTCCAGTGCATTATAAACCCTGAGGTGGGGTTTGTGGAAACCTCTTGATTTATAGCCCGTGGTCAGAAGCATGGGTGGCCAGGACTTACGATTGGCATCTAAAGTTGGGGGGGGCGGGGGGGCGGGGGGAGCAGTCTCGTGGGACTGAGCCCTTAACCTGTGTGGTCTGCACTGGCTGCAGGTAGTGTCAGAAGTAAATTGAACTGTAGGACATCAGTTGGTGTCTGCAGAGGGTTGGAGAATTGCTTGGTGTGGAAAACTAACACATTTGGTGTCAGAAGTATAACTAGAGGAACATGGATTCTTTTAGTATTTTACCATTGTGTTTATTTGGGTTAAATGTTAGTAATTAAATTAGCAAATGAAAAATAGGTAATAACTTTGGATGTTTGTCTTTATGAAGTTTTTCCTCTGGACTTAAATAGGAGATTCTGTGTCTCGCCCTCCCCACCCCCCGGTCTATGAGTTGTGTAAAATGTGTAGTATTCATAATAAAATTATTTTGTACTCTTATTGCTCTGATAACAACCACAACATCATTTTTTACAGATTGTTTAATAGAAAATTAAGCAATGACTTAAATATTGGGCTAAGTTCCTAAGGGAATGTGTGGAATTTCCTCCTGGAAACATTTAAATACAACAAAGATGTGACTGAGAAGACGGGGAAAGGGATGGCTGAACTCCCAGTGTTTTTTGGTTTCTTAATTGACAAAAAGTTAAATTACTTTCTTTATTTGTTTCTATGTTTATCCTGATTATATTTATTAATCAACCTCATGTTCTTTTCATTTCAGATTCCACTTTGACATTGGTCCTTTTGAAAACATGTGGCCTGGAATTTTTGTCTACATGGTCCATCGGTCCTGTGGGACATCCTGGTATGAATGACCTAAAAACTTCCTTCTGAAGCTGTTGAGTGATATGACCTCTTCTTCCCCCTGCCTAAATGCCTTGTCACTTCCTTGGTTGATAATTATCTGAAAATATGCCCTATATAAATAATTTTTTTTCAAAAGATTTAAATAAAAAAAGGCTGAGATTATTAGACAGATTGATAGCCTTCTTGGATTTCCTTTCCAGCCCACCGAGCTCTTTGCCAGGGTAGCTGTCCCTTGGCAAACAACCATGTGTCTACCAAGTGATGGTAAAAACACAGGTGAAAATTACCTTAGGCTGTGTAATGGGAAGAGGCAGGGGTTACTGCTCCACGTAATTACATACTGTTTGAAAGTGTGTTTTGGAAAACATGCACTGAATTTAGCATCAGCTTTCAGCCTACATTATGTTTCTGTTAGGACAGGTGTGAAGGAAACAGGTCTCCTAATTCCGCGCGGAGTGCATTCCTAGCAACTCCACTGTAGCTCCCTTCCCCTGTGGGTCCTTCCCTTCTCCCGTGGCCTGCCCTAGGGGCCTTTTAGGACTTTCCACTTAACCTTTTACAGCTTCAGCATACATACTGAAAATGCAAGGAATAATTTTCTTTTTCTCTTTTTCACTCATTTAATCATTAAATGGCTTATAAAGGCTCTTAATTGCTCTGAAACTAAATTGTCGTTCCTTTGCTATTGAATTCTGTGTCTTCTCTTACTTCTATCTGTGACTTTTATAAATTGCTCTTTTGAAAGAATGTACACAGGATAATTAACTCCACTTTTCTTAGATATCAGTTGAGAGTTTTACCAGTTGGAACTCTTAAAATGACATACCTTATATTTCAAGGACATTTGAAAATTTCAGTGGGAAAGAAAACGGTTATGTATCTTTAGAAGTTTTATGGGCTCTCATCACCTTGGTATTTCAAAGAGCCCTGTTTTATATTGATGTACTTTTGTTTTAAGCAGCCTTAAATTCCCCAAGAGAGTTGCTGGGGCCTTAAATGAGTAGAAATACATGATAATATAAAAATAAAACATAATAGCAATGTTTCATAATAAAAACATGGCATACTTTTTTATTTACTGTGTCAGGATTTTGGTATGGCCATTTGCCACTTAATAATTTGAGTGTGCCATAGTACTTCAGATCCATTTTGAAAGGATAGTCTCTCATCCAGGAAATTCTCATGGTATACATATTTGCAGCTCATGAAGCTCATTGTGCTTTTTGGAATATATGAGCTCAAAACCCCCTTGAACAGGGTGATGAAATGTTGTCCTTTGAAGCATGGTGGGAGGTGGGACGGTAATGGAGTCAGTGACAGGCAGCTGCATGCTGGTTCTGGCGTGTGCCCCCACGAGGTCAGTTAATGTATCAGATCTGAAGCCCTGCAGGAGGCTTCCTCTCTCAACTGGCTGGAGGAATAGAAGGGAAGTGGTGGGTGAGACCCAGTGCTCCCGGACTCCGTCACTGTGCACATCTGTGTGGGTACAGATATATGTGTTTAAACCAGAGCTCTAGCTAGAACGTATTGATTCTGTACGAGTTTCTGTCCTAACACTTTCTTTTCCACACAGCTTTGAGCTTGAAAAGTTGTGTCGTTTTATTATGTCTGTGAAGAAAAACTATCGGCGGGTTCCTTATCACAACTGGAAACACGCCGTCACTGTGGCTCACTGCATGTACGCCATTCTCCAGAACAACCATGGGCTCTTCACCGACCTTGAGGTACGTGTGCACACACTTTTTTTTTTTTCCATTTCAAATAACCTGAGTGGATTTAAATACTCTGTATCTAGAGCACCTTCCCAGTATGGATATGTGACGTGTGATTCTACAACAGGTCAGTAATTTAGTAGAAGCACACTTTTAAAGTTGCTGTGCCCATTATTTATCATATTATTCTGTATAAGGAATGTCGATACAGAAATTCCAACTTCGCCAAAATATTCCCCCCAGGGAACACTAGTTTAATGGTCTCTTTTCCCTGTGAAAGCTTATGCCTTCTGAGAGTCTTTGTTAGGTGAACAGAGTCTGCCTTTCTCCTTGCTCTGTGCCCTGGGTAATGTAGACATATCCTACTGATTTGAGAACCCAGAGCATTGAATCATTAAATACAGTTAACACATAAATGTGTATTTGGTCTCTTGTCCCATGAGGAAGTGGGCTCTGTGAGGCTTCCCTGACTTACCTGACTTGACATGCCCAGGGCTGGTGACCCACTCAGAGATTTGGGGCTGCCTAGTCCATCCATGCACCGCTGACTAGCCCAGCACTCAGTGATGCCCACTGCCAAGTGTGTCCTCGCCCCCACACGGTCCCAGCGATGTATCCCCTCTCTTCTCCTCCATAAAACTGGTATCCTGCTTAAGAAGACGTGTTGACCGCGCAGAGGAGGGGCTTCCTCATCACAGAGATGAGGAACTTGTGCTTCTCTCAAGGGCACATTCGCACTAGAACCCAGCGCTCCTCAGGGCCAGTCCTATGCCTCTTCCATCCCGTTAGACTAAATTCACAATCTGGGCAGGAAACTCATAAGGTGCATTGCAGGAAAAAACATTCAAAAATGGAAAATTTTAAGATCAGTGAGAAAATTTTGCAGCTACAAATTAACTCTCATTTACGTTCCTAATTTATCTTTAGAATTATATCATGATGTTTTCACAAAAGCTCAGGTCCTTTTGGCTAAAAATAATCCCAAAATAATGTGTGTGAAAATTTAAAATATCTTTTTTAAAAGGGATATTTAATCTCTGATAAAGCTATTAGAAATTATCATTTGAGGGGCACCTGGGGGGCTCAGGTGGTTAAGCGTCTGCCCTCGGCTCAGGTCACGATCCCAGGGTCCTGGGATGGAGCCGCGCATCGGGCTCCCTGCTCGGCGGGGAGCCTGCTCCTCCTTCTTTCCCTACCGCTCCCCCGCTTGTGTGCACACGCTCTCTCTCTCTTTCAAATAAATGAATAAAGTATTTTTTTGAAAGAAAGAAATTATCATTTGATCTTGCTAAAGTAACATATTAACAAAGATAACTTCTTCACTTTGTAAATTATTTTCACATGCTTGATTCTGGCATAATTTTAATAAAACAATTGAACATTATGTCAGTAAAAAATAGGTAAAAAAGATTGGAAAGGTGTACATAATAGCTTTTACCTACTGTGCAAGATTTTAAAACCTTGAAATTTCTTACCAGATTCATCATGGTTGACACAACAGCAGAAAATATGGGAATAACCCAAAACCAAAATAATACTCAGAACATAACTAATTCAGTTATCCTCAGACCACTGAGCCTGCAGGACAGCTCCCATGCAAACACCAGCAGTTGATGGGTGCTGGTAGTCTGGGGTCTGGGGAGGCCTGCCTGCCCAATAGGTTTGCAGGAGAAACGAGTTCTGCTCAGTGAGGATCAGAAAGGAGCAGGGCAGAGGCACCCAGTTAAACTTCTGGGGTTTCTGCAGACGCCGTCCTGCCTGTGAGCATCTCCCCCTGTGGGCTCTGACTTCATACACACCAGAACATTCACTAGGTTCCTCTCCAGAGCTGGTCTCTCCACTTGACCTTGGGTACTGCCTCCACCCCGCAGAGAGCCGTCCCTAGCAGTTCTCCCCCCTCCCTCTCCTCCATCAGCATGTTCTCTGCTGGAATGTCTTGTCTGCATGGAGCACCCTGTTGTTCCCTCCATCATAACACACCCCCTTGATCTGCCTCTGCAGTCAGCTCTGTCCTGACTTCTCAGCCCTCCCCTTGCCACAAACACACAGAAGAGCTGCCCCACTGGCTGGCTCCAATTCCTCTCCTCCCCTTTTCTCTGAAACCAGGTTGGATCAGGCTTCTGCCCCACCCCCGGAAAATGCCCTGGGTTGGGTCACCCACAGTGCCCTGCGCCTTGCCCACTGAGGGTCAGTGCTTGCGTTTCAGCTCTTTGAGTCACTGTCTCCACGTGGCTCCAGGATACCCAACACTAACACTCTTGGTTTCTTCTGGTCACACAGGTTTGGGGGTTGCTTTGGGGTTTTTTTGCTATTTCTCTTCCCTCAGACTTCTTGAAGTTGGAATACTTGAGGGCTCAGACCTTTGGCCTCCTCTAACCTCAAACAACAACTGTGGTGGGCTCAGCCAGTCTTGTGGCCCAAAATGCCATATACACGGACACTTCTCTTTCTCCAGCTAAGACCTGCCCCCCTGCAGAAGGTTAGACTAAAATAGACAACCATCAGCTCAGTATCTCCCCCGAACCCCTCAATCTAAAACTGAACTCCTGACCCTTTTCTTCCAACCTCCTTCACCCGCAACTATTCGTCTGCCAGTTGCCGACAGTCCTGCACTTCCAAGGCGAAGCACCTTGCACCTGTGCTTGAATCCTGTCTTCCCTTCCCTCGCCTCCTTGCTTTCCCTTTGGCTCACACCCAGACCGTCAGAAAATCCTGTTGACCCTGCCCGTAAAACTCAGCCAGATTTAATCACGTCTTCTGAGCCCCCAGTGCTGCCTCTGGTCTAAGGTTTTGCCTGAGTTATGACAAAAGCCTCCTCACCAGTCTCTCTTCCCCTCCCGGAGTCTGTTCTCAGTACAATTGCCCGCATGGTAATCTTCTAAAAAATGTAAGTTAGATGATATCAGCCCTCTGCTAAAACCCTGTAGCCCTTCCCTGGTTCCCACAGAGAATAAGGCCTCGAAGAGCGTCGGCCCCCTTTCTGGCATATTCTTGTCCGTCCACAGCCCCGCCACCCTCTGATCCCCTGCCGGTTGGGGGAGGCTCACCTGCAGGAGCTAACACTGCCTCTTCGTCCCCCCGCCCCGCCCCAAGTCTCCTGCTTCTCCCCTTCACCTTCCGGCCTGCTCACATGGACTCTCTGTGGCCCAGCTTGCTTGCTTTAACACTGCATCTGCTTCTGCCTGCTCTGCCTTTTCTCTTTCTCTGTACAATTTGCCATTTAGTCACATGCTCTATGATTTACCTATTACGTTCTTTATGTATAGTAGCAATAGCACTGTTGAAATTTAACATTGAGTGGATTTTTGAATGAAGCACTGAAACTGTCCTCTCCTTGTGCAGATTAGCTTTATCTGTAATTCTTGGGAACATTTGCATTAATTTGATACCACCTACACCTTTCCCCAGAGTTGAACCAGAAAATTCAAGAATAATTCAATTGTCAAGTTCGTAAGTAGAAAAACACAAAGAAGGATGTTAAAAAAAAGAACCTAGATTATCTGGAGTCTCAGAGATTCCTAAGGATGTGGGCTATTGCAGGGGCAGGAGCCTATCCATATGAGAGGAGTGATGAGCTGTGACTCTCTTCACATCCATTGCTTTGTTTTGAACATCCGTGCACTGTGTTATTTTTTTTGAAGCGCAAAGGACTGCTAATCGCATGTCTGTGTCATGACCTGGACCACAGGGGTTTCAGTAACAGCTACCTGCAGAAATTCGATCACCCTCTGGCAGCTCTCTATTCCACTTCTACCATGGAGCAGCATCACTTCTCCCAGACAGTGTCCATCCTCCAGGTGAGCAAACCGCCCCCCCGCCCCCGCCCTGAAGAGGTTCTCATGGTTGATAATATATAAATGAGGGATGTCGGTGTGGCTTCCTAACAACAGCAGCTACATTTTATTGTAGAACATTGTAGGTAAAGTCATCGTTAGATAGTCATGGGCTTTTTGGATGATGACTCCTTGGTGAAGACTTTGAATATATATATATTTTGCTTTGATTTAAGTACATGATACTCTAAGGCAAAGTTTGTTTCACTTGTTAAATTTATTTATATGGATTATCATGTTCTTAAACCCAAACATATTGAACAATAAATCTTGAGAGTTAGGCAAATCAAGGTTTCAAGTGCACTAAAGGCCTTTTAGTTCTCTTGTGTTTGTTCTATTTTTTATTATATTGTTTTTAAGATGTTCTTGGTGCTTGATCTAGACAAGGGCAGACCTCACCTCACTGTCTGATATATATGTTCTGTCTTCACTTTATTTTTTTTATTTTATTATGTTATGTTAGTCACCATACATTACATCATTAGTTTTTGACGTAGTGATCCATGATTCATTGTTTACATATAACACCCAGTGCTCCCTGCAGAATGTGCCCTCTTTAATACCCATCACAGGGCTAACCCATCCCCCCACCCCCCTCCCCTCTAGAACCCTGTTTGTTTCTCAGAGTCCATCGTCTCTCATGGTTTGTCTCTCCCTCCGATTTCCCCCCCTTCATTTTCCCTTCCTTCTCCTAATGTCCTCCATGCTATTCCTTATGTTCTGTCTTCACTTTAAACGTTCGTCCTCAAATTCACCTTCACAAGGTAGCTACTACTTCATGATGGTTTGATTCCTTTCCTAGACAATTTCTTAAATGTGCTTTGACTTCAGAGAAGTGGACTCTGTGTTTCTTCTTGCCGTCAGCACCAGTGTAGGAAGAGAAGTGCCATCTGCGGTCTTCCGCAGATGCCACTAAGGAAGGACATGGGCTCCGCGGGGCTCCAGCAGGATTGGCTGTGGGCGAGCGGCAGAGCGGGAGGCTGTTTGCCCCCTGGTGCAGTCTCCCACCCTCGTGTGGCCTGGGCCTCCCTCTGAGCATTCAGACTTCGGTTTTCTCCCCTCAGCTTCTCCTCACTGGCCTTGTTTGTCGTCTGTGTCCTAACTGTCCCAGGGGTCGGTAGGTAGTATTGCATGCCCAGACCTTTTCAAAACCCAGCAGAACACGCCTGACTGGGTCCTGTTTCCTCAGGACCGAGAAGGTAAATGATGACCTCAGTGCAGTGTCATTCCAGGTACATGCTGGTAACAGTGGAGGGGTTTCGGAGAGGGGGCTGCTTCAGGCACTTGGAAGCCATATCCGGCAGCTAGCAGATTATTCCACTTGCTCACAGCTGGTCCTCTCCCTGAAAGCAGTAGGAAGTCACACTCCTGATGTTCCCTTAGCACCAATCCTTTCTTTAGTTTTAAAAGGATATATGTATGTATGGATAGGTAGATACAAACATACCTACCTACCTAGTAATTTAAGCAGGATAAAAGATATGTGTGGGTCTGTACATAGCTGTGCACGCGCGCATGTGTGTATGTGTGTATAGAAACGTGCTTTTTATAAATGACCAACATTCTAGAACTTCATGACAGTTTTTCTGTTTACTCTGATCTTCCTCATGATACAGGGCTATTTGTATAGGACAAAGGGTAAATGCCAAAAATGACATCAGGATGCCTTCATGTAGAGATAATTCAGACTCACTGCATTAGCAGCCCATGTCCTAATTCATACATTTGACTATGACAGTATTTTAGTAATGTAATCTGTAAATAATTTTAATAGCCTTTATAAGGTGTCTTTGGAAAACCTATTTAAATATAATAGGATTCGTTTTGAAATAGGGATTGCATAAAGTACAATGCTGCTGGGTAGAATAAAAAATTAAACCCTGTGACATAGCAATGATTCAAACCATGTAGGGACAGAGAGGCCTGGACCCACCCCAGTGCTGGGAGACTTGGCCCATTTGCTGCCATCAACAACAGGGGTTCAGAATGGTCTCTTTCATTTTGAGCAAGCCCTCAGCTCTACGTTACACAACATAGTGTTCCTAGAATGATCAGAACATAGAAGGCAGCACCCAGAGCAGGGAATTCAGTTCAGGCAAGCTATTGGCAAGAAGGTGTTGAAGAATCATTAGATCCAAGTATTGGAGATGGGGTTTCCGTCAGTGATGAGGCCATAGTAAGGGCACATGTGTTCTCCATTTCTAGAGAAGATCAGTTACTCAGCATGCTTACAGTCTTCCTCAAGGATCACAAGAACGAGAAGCTGGAAAGAAGCCCCGGGCATTGCCGTACATCCAGAAAAGCCCACCATTTAAAAACTGAATCCATATGCTGAACTGACTTAAAGCCTCCTGTGTGAATTGGGACAGGGAAAGATGTATCAGGATCATAAACAGATGGCCCATCACTGTGGGCAGGAGTATTCAGGAAAGGATTCCTTCTTTTTCTGGAAATTTCTGTACTCTCTGCTGATTTGACATTTATGCTCATGATACTTCTCAGAGTATTTCTTCTCAGATCCATCTCTAACTGCCCCTTGAATTTCATTTTAATAGCAAACATTTATGGAGCTCCTCCCAGCTGCCAACACCCATTTTAGGCCCAGGGCTTATAGTAACAACAGAGACCAATCCCTGCTTTCACGCTGCTCGGTCTCAGTGCTCCACCGGGCTGCTCTCTGGAGTCCTCCTGGTCACCGTCGGCTGTGGCTCTCATTCCTAGGGCACAGGGGGACTTCTGTTTCCAAACACCCAAACTCAGCATTCAGTGTGACCAGAATTGTGCTTATTATTATACATCTCCTCTGGTGGTGGCCTCCATCTCCCAACCACCACAGGGGGATGACCTTAGAGTCATTGTTCCCCATCCCCACCCCCACCTCCAGGTGCCAAGGCCTGCCAGTTTTAGGTTTTATCAAGACAACTCCAGACTTGAACCAATTTAAGGTGATAGTCTAGAGTAATAGTAAAAATTCCAAATTCCAGTCACTAAAATAAGAGAACAATATATTGTTATGTCACATGGATACCTCTGATACCTCTGTTGATCTGCAGTGTTCGCCATTAGGAAAGATTTTGCATGTTGATTCCTGATCTCTGCAGATCTTTATCATCGTGGCCACACAGATGATTGTGGACCTGGAACTGTCCTTCCTCTGGCAACGTGGCCTGATAGAAGATAAATAATTTGGTATATAATGGTTGGAGATAGCTCCCTATCAGGCCTTCCCAAAGCTGTGTGTGTGTGTGTGTGTGTGTGTGTGTGTGAGTTCATCAGTTTTGTTAACCTCAGTGCTGACTGAGGGTGGCTGCCACTGTTAATTATTGGATAATCTGGGCAACGAGAGGGAGCGCTGTCAGACCCCTGGCTGAACACAGCAACATCAGTAAACAAAGAGAATAGGAAATATATATAAAAAGCTAATGTCAGTCTTAACACACAAACACATCACTTCACAGAAAGACAGGAGGAGTGTGTATTTGGTCCTGGCTTGCCTTCACTTTTGTCTCAGTGAGAAAGATGCCGTAGGCCATCCTTTGCTGAGTGGGTAGTGGGAAGAGGTTAGGTCATGGATGAAGTGAGAGCGGTATCGTTATTTCTTATCTACACTCTTGGCTTTTGCTGAGCTGCCCATTACCTCTTAATATCAGGGTATCGAGACTGGTTTCCTGATGATCGGGGCCCGTGGCATTCCAGACAGAGGGAACCCCCACCACAGGCTAAACTGGCCCTTCTGACTCCTCCAGCCTCCTGCACGTCCACCAGTGACCTTGCTTCTTTGACATCCCTCATTCTGCCTTCATCATCTGTTATCTACCTTTTTTCCCTCGTTGACCACCATTTCTCCAAGCTTGCCTCTCTCAAATCCATCTTCCAGGTATATGTCTGAACATGTTATTCTCCTGTTTAAGTCATCAGCGTCCTGTGGGGTCAAGAATAAATTCCATTTCTTTTTTTAAAAAATATTTTATTTATTTATTCGAGAAGGAGAATAGCACAAGCAGGGGGAGCAGCAGAGGGAGAAGCAGACTCACCTCTGAGGAAGGAGCCCGATGTGGGGCTCGATCCCAGGACCCCCTGATCATGACCTGAGCTGAAGGCAGATGCTTAACTGACTGTGCCACGCAAGATGCCCCAATAAATTCCATTTCTAAACTGATGTTCAGGTCTTTAGTGAATGGTTTATGGGTGTTCTAGGACTGTTGTAGCTACTGCACTTTTTAGCTGCAGACTGTTTCTTACTTCTGTGTCATTGCCTGCATCCTTCCTACTTGTAATTCTCCCATTGCCTTTTTGAGCCAACTTCTTATCTTCAAGGCTCAGCTCAGGTATTACCTCCTCTAGTGGAGTTATTTTATGACTCAGCTGGAGCACAGCCATTTACCCCTTTACGTGGCCCCTGAGCCCGCAAACAGATACATATCTTAGTTTTTTTCACATTGTATTGAAATTTTCTCTTGGCGAGCTGAGCTTGCTTGCCCCTGCTCTGAATTATAAGCCCAATGAGGACAGTCACTGCCCCTCATGCATCCCTGTCCCTGCCCACCCATCACTGGGTCTCCTGACATGGCTGGCAGTGGTCACATGAAGGTATGGAATGTGGATGCAGGAGAGTTCGGGGACACAAAACGCTGAGTGCAAAGTTTGGAGGCTGAAAACCACCAAGTTTTATTTAGGTAGAGTGAGTCAGTGAGTTTCCTTAGGACAAAAAGGTAGTTTGGTACTGAAACAAAAGTGGAGAATGCCTTCAAGTAAGGAGACTATTTTGTGTGGACAGTGACATCCAAGAAAGCAGGTAAGCTTTTTTCTTACCCAAAGCTTACCCACATATTTTAGTAATTGTGATAGAACCATTAGTGTTGGAATATTAAATCCATATTTAGAATATCCTCTTTCCTAATGAGATGTCAGTGATTAGTTTGAATATTGAAGCCACCCTTTTTCTGTATTTTGCCTTCTGTGAATATCTCATGTTAAGTACTCACAAGTCAAAATTTAAAAAAAACAGACTAATTAGGAATAATCTTTCTTGTTATTAAGAAAATTTTCTCAACATTCCATTAATCTTGAATTGTCTGGTGCTTTTGAAATATGTTTAGATGTTAAGAGAATTGTCTTTATACCCAACATTTTGTGATCCTGTGACGTTTTTATTACTTCTTATAGCTGCTAACAAGCCATTCTTCCAGTCTGTCTGCACAAAGTAGAATTTACTGCAAAGTTGTGGTATTTCTATCCAACATTGCCTTTACAAATAAGCTAAAATGTATCACACAGAGGCTAGCTTAAACCTGTCCTTTTCTGCAGATATATTCTGAATGGATAGAAGTGATCTTTGGCTACCACATTTCTTTCTGGGCATATGTGTGTATTTGTTTGTTTGATTTTCCTTTCTGTCCCGTAGCTCCGGCTGCAGAAGTTTTACTGGTAGATTTTGACCTCTTCGTCACCACCATCATCATAGTAATCATTTCATCATTTATTAGGTACTCATTATAAATATTGTAGTACTTATTACTTAATACTTACTATAATAAATCAGAAACTTAAGAATTTTGCACATACTAACACATTGATTTTTATAATATTCTATGAGATAGGTATCAGTTTATTTCCATTTTATAAGAAAGAGTAATGTGCATCAAAGAGGTTAAGTGACCTGTCCATTGTCATACAGCTAGTAAGAACAGGATTAAAAACTAGAATTGTTTGACTCCAAACCCTGAGTTCTTAATTACAGTACTACCATGCTTCCTAGCCTGTGGTTTGATGCAGTAGACGATGAAGTACCCAAATAAATACCAAGCCGTTGCCGTTGTGAATGCTCGATGCAGTTGACTTTTGTCACCTCAGATCCCCTGAATGATTCAGCTCGTGCCTGTGGCTTCCTGTGGTGGTGACTTACACCCACCCGGGTGAGCTTGGGCTGGTTGGCATGCAGGTGTTGAAATCTGAGCTCCAAGCCCTTTCTTTTAAGAATCTCTTTCATAGAGCTAAGCAGCATGGGGCTTTGGAAAGAATTATTTATGATTAATAATAATATTTTAAAAGCTTGCTAAGGGAAGATGGATCAGTGTGTCCTTCCGCTTCGGTCCTAACCTCCCCGCAACCCACGTTGTTGCTAGAGCAATTGTCCTAAAACAGGCTTCATCTGTCATGACCTTCCTTGTTACTACCTTCCAGTGACCATTTCAGTTCTGACATGAGGCCTTTGAACTCTCCCACTGGGTCACCATTTCTCCATGCAGACGATGTGCTTGAGCCATACTGCAGTTGTATGGCTCCCACTGAATACGTGTAGTCTCTTGCGACCCCTCCTTGTCCTGCAGAATCCATGGCCCCTGCCCTTCCGGAGCCCATCACTTAACTCCATCCCAGAGACCGCTCCATCCGTTTTGTCATGTGCTTACACGCTTCTCTCCCACTAAGCTGTGAACCCCTCACAGATGAACTCACGTTGTTTGGGGCTGTGGGCAGATTAGCTACTGTCGTACAAACATCCTTACACAAGGTGAAACACTGCACACTAAATATCTGCCAGATCAGTAAGACATACATTCTTCATCTTGTGATGGGAAAGACACAGGCAGAAGCACTCCAGCAGTGCAGTGGATGGCTGAGAATCCATAGCTCACCATGTCTGAAAGCTGGGGGGACCGATAGATCACCCACCCAGGGAGTAGGTCGCTGGGGGGCTTCCAGCACAGGGCTGATCCCAGCATCGCGCGTGTTCTCCAGCAGCTCACAGACTTCGGCTGCTTAGAGCACCTGCAACCAAGCCCACACATGCTCTCACAGGCCTAAGGACTATATGCAGTTCACCCATCTCTGGATTTTAGGAGCATTTCCCGATATAAAATGTGGGTTATTTTATGCCTGATTGATACAAAATGGGATGAACTGCCTTGAATTAACATAAACTTCAAACACTATAACCTGGGACATTAACTATAATAAACTCACCAGTTGGTATATAAAAGTATTATATTGTGAGGTTTTAATGTTAACTAATGTGAAATTGGAGCTTTTAAAAGATTTTAAGCTGTTTACCTGCTGTGTTTGGTTGCTGTATCTCTCTTATTTTCCTTTGGTAGGAGCAAAGTGCTAAAAAATATGTACTCCATCCTCTTGAAGGGATACTGTTTGTGTATTCATTTGTTACCTTTGCTCTTGCAGAATATTGCAGAAGGCAGTAAAAGGGTCCTGATTACAACTTTTCCTTATGAAGTTCCTCTACTGGACTTCTCCACCTAGTTGCCTTTAATATCAAAAAGTACCTGAAACCAGTATCGCAATGTATATTTAAATTCTAGTTAGAATTTAAATAGAAATTTTTAAAAAAGAAAAGTAATACAAGAAATAGTAAATCCAAAGTAGCCAACAGAATATACACATCCTTTAAAATGGGTCTCCATTTGCCATAGATCATGGATACTTTCGAGAATCTGATAAAATAATATGCTTATGGATGACGCACTCAACACATAATTTATAGATAGGTAGATAAATGCAGTGAGTTTATAACTCTTTGGTCCTGGAGAGAGTTTCTAGAACCCAAGCCAAGAAGTTCCTATTTTAAAGATTTTATTTATTTATTTATTTATTTGAGAGAGAGAGAGAGAGAGAGAGCACATGAGAGGGGGAAGGGTCAGAGGGAGAAGCAGACTCCCTGCTGAGCAGGGAGCCTGATGCGGGACTCGATCCCGGGACTCCGGGATCATGACCTGAGCCGAAGGCAGTCACTTAACCAACTGAGCCACCCAGGCACCCTAAGAAGTTCCTATTTTAGAGAAATTTAAAAAAAAATTTCCAACAGTATGATAGAATATTTTTATACACTGTAATTTACTGATTTATTGGTAATAGAATAAAGCATGTAAATACGTATCACATGTGATTGCTCTTCAGATGACATGCCAATAGCAGATGTGTGCACGAGTACCAACCAAACCTACCAGTGTGAAGTGTTTATGATTTGGGAGTGTAGGTGACAAGGCATTAAATGTTGAAATGGAGGCTGCTGCTTTACTTGAGTTAGGATCAAATGAAAGCAAAGCAGATTTCATAGCAGGAGTCAGAGAAAAAAATTTCTTTTATTTTCCTGCACTAAAATTTTGGAGAGTTGACTTCAGCTACCTTCCCAAAGCTTAAATCCCCTCCCCTTGTCCCCTCAGTTACCAAGCAGCCTATGCCTGAACCCGCCACCCACAGCATCTCCTGTGTCGTTCCTGTTCCGCCCCGTGGTAGCTGAGCTTCAGGGGGTTCTTCCTTATGTCGAGTTCAAGTCTGTCATCACATCTACCCTTTGGCCCTGTTGTATTCACGAAAGCTGCTTCAGATGAGATTGCATTACTAAAAATGACTGGTTTATAGAAGCACTGCAGTTGCTCTTCAAAGAAAAATCTTTTTGATGCTTCAGCAAATAACTTCATTTCAATTAGACATCAGAGTTATTTAAATTTAATAATTTGAAAGTGAAATCATGTGTTTGAAAATGTTTTGTGAATTTAGAGCATCCTACAAATGTAAGGCCTTCTTATTATGATTGTCAGGAAAATAACCAACTAGAGCTAATTCCATTTGCTGCACTTATCATAGGATGATTTAAATAATTATAAAAGCTTAAGAGTAGGTAATAAAGATTCTGATGATTGAAAACAAATGGTGCATGTACTGCCTTATTTCAGAGTAATAGGAAGGAGGCCGTGTCTTAGAGAAATGTCTGATTTTGTAAAATATATTTTAATAATTTCAAGTTTTTAATGTATTTTATCAGCCAATAAATATAGCTCAGAGCAAGTGAAAACAATCAATTACAGTAGGACTATGTTGACTAGTAATGAATAATTTTACAATTGATGAACCCGCAAATTGAATCCATCTTTATTATTCAATCATTTTTGTTTGAACAAAAACGACCCATTTTTATCTCAATTACAAATAAAGACTTAAGATTCTCAGTTATTGTAAAAAGTTTTTAACAGATTCATATGCAGAAGAATAATTCTGAGGTAATAGAGTCCAAATGCCCAGTGTTCTGGTCTTGTCCAGGGTGATGGTCTGCTGTCCCCCTCCTGTGAGGACAGAACAAGAGAGGATGGCCTGACAGTGTTTGCACCTCAGCAGTTTGTGTTTTATGGAAAAAGGTTGTTACCTGTAGGGAGAAATTTTAATATGCCTGACTAAACTTTATTTTGAGGTTGTGGGACATTTTCTTCTCTAATATGGAGAAAGTAGGTTACTATTCATTGGACTTGCTAAGTGGACAAAGATATCCATGATCTTTCAATCCATTCATTTCCAGTCTAATATAAAAAAAGTTTTAAATTAGTTTAAGAAGAAATGTCTTAAGTATTTTATATTTTCTAGTCCTTTAATTGCTTACTGGAAATTCCAAAAACTAGCTATATATTTAAATAATTGGGATTTTGTGGTAGCAAATGATGTTACCGTAGGAGATAGATCATTTAAGTGGTAGTAGCTTCACTGTTGTAGCTTAAAGAGAAACTGACGTTAATTTCCATTAATCATTACAAACTATTCTTTTGTTTCCCCCAAACCTGTCATTTGTGTGCCAGATGCCATTGACTGTCTGTATTGTTTCAAATACCTGCAGATGTCATAAGATTAGAGCTTGTGCTTGCTATTGGTGGTGTTTGTGTTTTCTCCATAGTTGGAAGGGCACAATATCTTCTCCACCCTGAGCTCCAGTGAATATGAACAGGTGCTCGAGATCATCCGCAAAGCTATCATTGCCACAGACCTTGCTTTGTACTTTGGAAACAGGAAACAATTGGAGGAGATGTACCAGACCGGATCGCTAAACCTTAATAATCAATCACATAGGTAAAAATCATCTTTAAAAGCTTAGAAGCCTAGGAAGTATTGTCTGGAATAAACTTATACTTAAAAACAGAAATGTAATTTAGCATAAATTTATATTTGAAAGAAGTGTAAAAATATTTATGTGTTTTCTTTCTGTTTTACATGTATTTATATTTGCTTTGCATTTCCTTATTTGACAAAATTACTGAGAGTGAATTATCGGGATATATTAAAATGTGAATTGCAATTTAAACTGCTGACATAGGAATGGGTACTTTTTTTAAGATTTTATTTATTCATTTGAAAGAGAGAGAGAGACTGAGAGAGCACAAGCGGGGGGAGAGGCAGAGGGAGAAACACACTCCCCACTGAGCTGGGAGCCCAATGTCCGGCTTGATCCCAAGACCTGGAGATCATGCCCTGAGCCGGAGGCAGACACTTAACCAACAGAGCCACCCGGCGCCCCAGGAATGGGTACTTTTAAAGAGATGTCATTTTATAAGAGGCCGCTCCTTGAATTAATTTCAGTCCAGGGTTTGGTCATTGGCTTCACAGACTCAAAAGCGAATGAAAATGGATTCATTTTTCAGAATCCAGATCTTATTGACCAAGCTAACGTGATTGATGGATAAAACTGGAATTTCATTTTATTCATCTACAAACATATATTCTAGTTACAAGCATCAGAATATTGGCATTCAGTGTGCTCAGATCATTTGGGAAACAAGTGACAATCAAAAGTTTGTTTCATGGACATGGAGTCAGAACAAGGAGAATTAGATTACTTAAAATGTTCTAATGCATCAGGCTAAATTTATCTGGTTTATCTTTTCTGAGAAGGCATGCTTTGCCTAACAAAATCAGAAATATATCAGGTGTGTTCATTGTGAACCTGTCCACCCTCTGTATATTAGGTCTCAGTCCATTGGCTAACCTGCCTATTCCTCTTGTCAGTTTGTAGGTGTGACCACCAGCTTTTACTGCTAGGACTTTCCCTTTGCTGTTTCCACATCTGACCAAGTCCATCTTAAGGGGTGCCATCTTTACCTTTAGATTTGTGATCATGTGTTTACTGGTCTCTTCTAGTCTTGCTGAACTTGGGTCGATATTCTCTTTGTTCAGGTGCTTTGCATTCTTCCTCCATGATCCATGAAATACTGATCATAACATTTCTTTTTAGAAGAGTCTGTTTTAAAGTTTTTAGAAGCAATTCACTCAGGTATCACAAACACAAAACCTTAGGTTTACAAATGACTATAGATATGTAATAAAGTTTGCCTCTTCAAGAATATTACATACATATAATATGATGATATCCGTTCGTTTGATTAAGCTACTGTTGTATGGGATTCAGTTTATATTCAAACAGGGGCAGGTCCAGATTTTGCAGAGCCTGAAACTTACACGATTTTGGGAGCCAGGTATCTTATTTTCATCGAGGGTGGTCTGAACACATTGCCAGAGCCTCCCAGGATCATGGAAGGGGGGCTTAGTGTTGTGAAGGGCCACAAAGGTTCTTCCCAACACATCTTCCTCTGCCTGCAGCCCAGGGGATACATGTGACTTACAATCATCATGTCTCTCTGCTTGCAACAGATTTTGTGTGTAGTTCTTGTAGAAACAGGTGTTTGTTTACAGTTCTCTTTCTTACGGCAGTTATAATATACCCTGGATGAAAGTAGTCTTTGGTTTGCTGAAACCCATGTGCATACATTTTTTTTTTTTTTAGATTATAAGTAAGAGTCATGTAATTAGTGTCAAGTTTCTTGTGTATATTTTTTAGCCAAATGGTTATAATAATTATTTTAAAATAGAAAATTTAAGAATCTAATTACAAATAATATACTTGGTGCTTAATGCATATGTGGGTGTGTGTTAGTGGTGTATACTGTCTTAATTATGGATGATTAATTAATTTTTGGACAGTTACTGATTTTAAAGGTAATGCATGTCTGTCTTAACAATTCAAAGAGTGCAGAAGTATGTGTAAGAGGAAGAATATTCTGTTCTTCTGAACTCCATGCCAGCAATCTATTGGGTATAATCTCATCCCATGCACTTTTCTGTGTTTATTCCAAGTTCTGTGTTGGGGTGTGTGTGTGTGTATGTGTGTGCATGTGTACACAATATATATACACAAATATACTGTCCTCTTTTTTTTTTAATAAAAATGTGATACACCAGATGCATTCCTTTTTTCTAAGAGTTCTATAACATCTTATAGTATGGGGTACTGTATACCCCATACTATATAAAAGCTTGTTAAGCCTTTCCCCTGATGGTAAGATATTTCTAGAATTTTGCAGTATAAATTAAGCTGTAATAAACTTGCTTATTTAGTCTTACCTACTGGTCCTCTAAAAATATGTACTGTGTAGTGCATGATGCTAGAAATTTATAAACATATAAACATAGTAAATTTTCCAAAAGGATTGTGGAAATTCATACTCCTCCTAACATGTGGGTGAAAACTTGCTCATTAACTGTGCCATTTTCTGATAGCTCCCTGCATAACAGATTGCTTCATGTTTGTTGGCTATTTATTGTTCCTACTTCTGTGTATATGTCTGTTCAGAGCTTTTGCGTATTTTTTTGTCGAGTTGTTTACTTTTTTTATACATCAGTTTGCATTATATATTTTATTAAGGGTACTAAAAGTTTCTCTGTTATATGTTACAAATATTTTCTTCAGGCGATTTTCAAAAACTTGATTCAGATTTTCTTTTGACTATAAACAAATTTAATTTCGTGAGGTCAAATCTCTCATTTGTTTTTATCAAATCCGGTTTCCTGTCTTGCTTAAGATGACCTCCCCTGTCCTCACAGTAATATAAATAGTACTTAAAATTCATTTTGTATATTTTTATAGTTTTGATTTTCATAGTTAGATCTTAGTTCTTCTGGAGTTATGTCTTTTATTTATTCCTGGTGGGTTAAATCAATGCCATTTAATTAATAATCCATTTTTTCCTCTGCTTGAAGTTTTTCATATAAACTTGGATAATTGTTTGAGTTCTTTAAGCCATTTAAGTGCTAATTAATCCTCGACTGTGATCATACTGTTTTGATTACCATAACTATGTTGCAATTTATCATACATACCTGGTAAGATAATCTTCATCTTTCATTTACCTTCCAAAAATGTTATGGAAATTGTTACTTAATAAATGCATTTTTAAATATTTTTATTAAAAATTTTTCAAACATAGAAAAAGGAGAAATTATATTAAGATGTACAAGAATTGTTAACATCTTACCATATATTTCTGCCTTTCTTATCTCAGTGTGCCACCTGAATGTAAATTATAGACATCATGACTTTTATCCCCCTCATCATGAATACTTAAAAAGAAAAATATATTCTGCTATCAGTTAAAAATAGCCACATTGGCACTTTGATTGCAGCTGTGTTTATTTCTTCACGTGAAAATGGAAATATATTGTCTTCAAGGACATTGGCATGAGTCTTTAATCCTGACAACATTTTATAGTTTGTCTACACAGGCCCTATCGCTTTCTTGGTAAAATTATATGCTCATTTTACAGATTTTATCACTTGTGAATGTATTTTTTCCCCATTTTTAACTGGAAATACAGCTTCCAGTATAAATAAAGTTATGAATTTCTACATATTTCTCAATTTTGCTTCATGTGTTTAGAAACTTTATTAGGTGCGTACACATTTATATTTGTTATGTCTTCTCCATGATTTACCATCTTATCAATGTGAAATTAATTCTCTTTTTGTCTGTAATACTTCTGGCTTTAAAGTGTTCTGTGTTAATAGCCACACCAGCTTCTTTTTGCTTCCTAGTGACGTGTCACGTTGTTTCCATTGTTTCCCGACCTTCTGTCTGTGTCTTTACATTTGGAGTGGGTCTTGCTACCAGCAGTAGTTGAGACCTGAGAGCACTGACTTCCTGATGGGCGGTTCAGTCTGTTTGCGTTTAAGGTTGCGGTATTTGACTGGTTGTCTCATTGTCTTCTGTGCGTTTAAGGTTGCGGTATTTGACTGGTTGTCTCATTGTCTTCTGTGCGTTTAAGGTTGCGGTATTTGACTGGTTGTCTCATTGTCCTCTGTGTGTTTAAGGTTGCGGTATTTGACTGGTTGTCTCATTGTCTTCTTTGCGTTTAAGGTTGCGGTATTTGACTGGTTGTCTCATTGTCTTCTGTGTGCTCCCCCGTTCTCTGCCCCTTCTGTCCTGCCTTCATCCCAGTTAATTGAATGTTTCCTTCAGCACTTTGTTCTGGACCTTCTACTGTCCTTTGTTGTTACACCTCTTTTCTAGTTTAGGTGTTTGCTCTTGAGTTTACAGTCTTCATCTTTATCAGTTGCTTGAATTAATATCATTCCATTTCCATACAATGTAAAAACCTTAAAAAACAATCCATTTATACCCCTTTTTGTCTGGTATGCTCCTGTTAAGTAGGATACTGATACATTTGTTCTGTATCCCACATAGGTTGCGAATATTTAAAATTAAACAGTTGGTTACTAAGGAATTTTTTAAAAGAAAAATAATGTCATATTTTCTCACATATATATACCATTTCCAATGCTTCACATTTATTTGAACAGTTCCAGATTTCTATCTGGTATCATCTTACTCTAGTCTAAAGAACTTCCTTTAACATTTCTTTAAGTGTGGTGACAGCAGTTTCTTCCAGCCTTTGTTTATCTGAAAATGCCTTTATTTCGGCTTCACTTTTCAGATATTTTTGCTGGATTTGCGATTATAAGTTGACAGATTTTCTTTTTTTTTTTAATTTTATGTTATTATGTTATGTTAGTCACCACGCATCATTAGTTTTTCATGTAGCGATCCACAATTCATTGTTTTTGTATAATACCCAGTGCTCCATGCAGTGTGTGCCCTCCTTAGTGCCCATCCCCGGGCTAACCCATCCGCAAATGTTTGGTTGTCTCCTGGCCTTCATCTGTTAAGTCAGTGGTCATTCCTATTGTTATTCTATATATAACATGTCTTTTTATTCTGGCCGCCCTGAAGATTTTCTCTATA